AGGTTAATTGCAATGATCCCAGACTCCCAGATGGTCCAATGAGAGCAATTACATGAAAGGATGCAAGCCCCAGAACAGGCTCCCTCTCCATCAGGATTTTCTAGTTTGGGTTGATTGATTGTTTCCCTTCATACAAAGGGGGGCTCCCATCGGGTCAGAAAGTGGTCCCTGTGTTTCTCAATTGAATGATTCACTTTGTTCTAGCTTTTGTTTATGAATAATCTTTTGTATGAAAATCTTGAACTCAAAAGTGCCATGATCACTGACTTTACAACCTTTGCATTCCACCACTTGCTGCATACCTCTAGTTCCATCTGCTTTTCCTTCTTTCTCTCCAACTACAAAATTTCACCCTCAGACTCATGGATATGAACTTACCTGTAGTACATAGAATTACTAGGAAGGCAAAACCATACAAGAAGGGATGAGGATGACAGGAGGGGTAATTGTGGCCTCTGGGGAGAATCCATGATTGCATCTTTGAAGCTTTTGCTAGTACTGGTTGGAAACAGTCCCACGACCATGGAACAAAGGATTATCCTGGACCTACACCCAGGTATATCGACAGTGATTCTCAAATATTGCAGAATAGAATGAGATAGAATGTAAAGAGAATTGCCATGATCAGTAATAAATAGGGTTTTCACTAGTAACTGTGATACCCTTTACTACCCAGAGTTTCCATATTCTTCCAAATCAATCAGAAAACAAACAAAATGCAAATTATTTTACCTTCTTTAAAGGTGTTCAAAAAGTTTTGAAGGAGCATAATTTATCCCCAAGGACCAACCACAATGACAAGGATGCTGATATCAAAAAAGGACCATAATTCCACCCATGATGATGAAATGAAACTCATCTAATTGTCCAACCATATCTTCATCAACAATGAATTATTACTTGTTTTTTTCTTCTTTTTTTCCTTTTCAGTCAAGGTATTGTCTTGGTGGACCCTAGAAGTAATTCCTTGATTTGAATTTGGAATCTCACTTTCAATTTTGAAGTGATTGCTTCCCACTTCTGAGTGTCTACAAATGTTTCTTTCATAGAGGAACGGTTTAATTGCAGTCTCCTTCAAATAAAATGTAATATTAGATTTGGCTACCGTTAATTTTATTATAAAAAATTAAAATTTTAATTAAAGAAATCAGTATAGTTCAAAGATTTTCTTGTTATTCATGATAAAAAAAAATTCTTTCCATCTATTGCTTTTTAATTATTTATATGTTGATTTATAGGGTCGAGATGAAATTATATATAAAAAAATCTTTATTCAAATTCAATTAATCTTTACCATTAAGAAAAGTAAGAAAGCCCGTTGTCAATTTAGTCGTTGGTCATTAGTTAGGTTTTGATCTTCCGTCGATTCAAGTTTAAATTTTAAATACTTTTAGATCAAAATAATTAAATAAATTATCATGTTTAATCGATTAATAACCGAATTCAATTAATTAAGTTATTTCTACCGTAGGATTCCACCGTCCTCCTCCCGTAATGCCTTCACACGTATGCCACTAAATTTTCCTTTGATAACTAAAGGTCTAAAATCCTTGATGGTAAAGATAACGTAGGAGAAACGCACCCAAAGGGCCAACCATGATGGTGAAGGAATGGACACCTCCCGCAATTAATTAGTAAGCAACTTCATCATTCATACTTACAACTTATGACCAAACTCATAATCATCTTTGTTAATTAAAGCTACATAATTCGTGAAAAAAAGGGTAAAAAAAATTCATATTCTTTCATCTCTAAATATTAATTATTATGCAATTTTCATGAAAATTAAAATAAAAAATAAATGAAAAAAAAGGACGACAGGAATATGAGGTTAGAGCAAGACCTTATCGATTATTAATACGCGGCTAGGAACTAAACCTTACGTAATTAATAATTAATTCTTTTGTTATAATAGCTAAATATAGCTATCTGTTGCTGTTTCATGTTCCTATCAAGGCGAAAACTTTCTAGCCCTCCATTGATTTTGCTTTTTTCTCTCCTTGCCGTGCACGAAACTCTTCAAACAAAAATAAACAAACAAACAATCGAAATCCCACTCTCATTCTTCTTGTGGAAGAAGCATTTTTTTTGGGTTGTCGATGATTTTGTGAGTAGCCATGGAAATCATGCACTGTTTGTGAGAAATGATTGGCAAAAAAAGGCAAACAGGTTATCAATGTGTAAAACCAAAGATTTCTCTACCATTTTTACTCCTTAAGGATACAGAGGTTAATATTAGTATTTGCCACTATTTAATGAATGGTGTTTAATTAATGTAAGTCATTAGTAATATAAAGTAAAGCAGCACGAGATTAGGAATGACAATGGATAGAGTATTAACTAATTTTAAAATACTTTATTTGAATTTGATTATAAAATATAACACCCATATTTTTTCTAAATCCGATTAATGATATCTTATTGAAATTTGAATTTGTTTATTTAATTAAAAATAAAATGAACATCTCTGCAGAACTTGACTTAATCTGAAATCAATAATAAATAATAAAATTTAATTATTTTTATACATTTTAATAATCAAAATTAGATTAATAAATTTTAGATCTAGATATATTATAAATTAAAATGAATAAATTGTCAATTATAATATATATATATACTAAAAATATGAAAATTAAAATAAATATTAAAAAGCTTACACTTTGTAATTAAATTTGAATAATAAATATTTTAAAATTACTATCCATTCGTTACTCTAACCCGTTTAAAAAATACCTAATTTTACTTAGACGGGTTAAATAATGGCATATGCCCGTTTACCTATTACTTATTATCATCCCTTCTAAAGGTACCCATAAGGTGAGGACCATTTTTATTGACATTTTTCAGTTTCTGAATCTTTGGATTGCCCAAAGTCAACAAAATTATTCGTTTCTTATGGTCTCAAAGCCTCGAATCCAAAAGGACCAAATACCCACTATATATATATATATTTTAGTCAAAGCATAGGGTTAGTTATGCATTTGTTACATTATTTTTTAAGAGTAATAGCCAATAAAAAAATGGGAATATTTCAACCTAACTAGTGGCATGCGGCTGCCATTTTATTTCTTAATATTCTAATTTGATACTAATTATTAAATTAACCGTGGATAAAGACTTATTTTCGAACATTGTATGGTAAGTAAGATGTCACAAATCCTAGTCTCGTTCTTCTAATTAATGAACCGAAACTAAAGACCAAGTTTGTCTATTTATCTTTTGTGAGCAAGTTCATACGAGTAATTAGTTTTACGATTTAAAAATTTTTTGTCGACGCCCTTTTGGAACTTTCCATTTGGCTTATTTCTATTCATGTGCTGCCCGCCCCCCCACCCCCTCTCCCCTCTTACATTATTCTTTTCTCAACAGTATAAAAACACATGAATTATGATTATATTTTTACTTAAATTTTTCATATTTTTGTGTATTCATATGAATTTTTAAAAATTAATTTTTTCTTAGCCCTAGTGAATAATTAATTATCGGTAGGTCTACTATTAATTGACATGTTATATTTATTTGACATATGATTTAACTAATTTATATGATCACATGATAATTAAGGTATTTAATTATTTGATCATATCACTTATCATGTGATAATATTAGTGAACCAATTCATACATTATGTAGACATAAAATTTTAATTGATATTGATTTTGAAAATAATTAATTTTTTGTTAAAATTAAAGATTTTAATGATTATAAATAAAAATTTAAAAACTCATTAGAGTATAAAGTAAATCGACAGACTTAATTGCTAAACCATTTTCCTACTCCAAATTTCTTCCTTTATTGAATTGGTTCATAAAATTAAAAAAAAAGGTGCAACTGCAATAATTTCCATATTTAAGAACCCATTAAATATTACAAGCCCTTCCCTCCAACCATTGCAGGAGCATTCAAGTGATTTCAAATACATCTCAACCGTTGATCAAAACCAATCTAAACAGTAGGACCCACCATACCTTAATTAGACTAGTACCACTTCATTAAAAACCAAGCAGCCACCCTGATTAATCCAATGCTTACAGCAGGCTTATCGGTTAACAGTAACACGATACTATCTTCATTTGTTTACCAAAACGTCCTCGCACCATTCCACCCTAAAAGGGGACTTCCAACAAGGGCGGTCCTGTCATTTAAACCAATCGAAGAAACAGAACATAGAAACCGAGACCTACGCCGAGTTCCATTCTGCTACATCGCCATGTGACCTCTCTGAATCTCTCTCTCTGTCTGTCTGTCTTTCTAAAAGTAATTATTTTTTAAAATTTTCTTCCATCGATGAAAGCTGAACCTAACCAAACTTGTTATGCAATAAGATAAGGAAGAATTTGTTTGATTTTTTTGGGTGCAAAAATGAAGTGTCAACCAACCTGTATCTATCTTGCAATCTCTGTGTATCTTAATTTCTACTTCATCAACCAAAACCAGAAACCGAAAGCCCCATCTCAACTATCTTTAGCTTGATCTTCCTCCGAGGGGAAAAATCTTCTGTTGCAGCTTGTTGTTTAATTCTGTGTGTTTTGAGGGAGGAGAGGGGGTTTAAATGGAGATGGCTTCAGAACTGCAGAAGCCCAAGAAGAAAAACAGAGGGTTCTATGTGAAGATGAGGATATTACACAAAGGCAGACAACATGAGAAAAGCCTGTTTTTCAAGTACTACAAATGGGTTCTTTGGTTTTCATTTACCCTCTATTTTCTCACCTCTTTCTTCATTAGTAACAAGCCAATCCCTTTGTCGAAAAACCGAGTTTCTGGTTCCAAATCGTCCATAGCGTCTCGTGTCCTGTTTGAATCTGTCAACAAAACTAGTCATAAATCCAAACACAAAGACCCAGGTTTGGTTTTTTGTTTCTTTCTTCTTCTTTGACTAAGCTTTCCATTTTTTATTTCCATTGAAAAGCAATGTTTTTAATGTTTTCTTTGTTTTCCATTTGGCAGCTTCGTTCAAAGACTTGAAGATATACATCTATGAACTACCATCAGAATACAACGAAGACTGGCTTTCCAACAAGCGATGCAGCAACCACTTGTTTGCCGCAGAGGTGGCAATTCACACAGCCTTAATGAACACCTACGACTTGAGAACATTCGACCCTTACGAAGCTGATTTCTTTTTTGTCCCTGTTTATGTCGCCTGTAACTTCAGCACCGTTAATGGTTTCCCTGCCATTGGCCATGCTCGCTCTCTTATATCCTCCGCTATCCAACTTATCTCCACGAACTACCCTTTCTGGAACCGCTCCCTAGGTTTCGACCACATCTTCGTCGCCTCCCATGATTATGGAGCTTGCTTCCACGCCATGGTAAGTAAAAATAATTTCTGAAAAGAATGTCTTTTTGAAGAACCTTTAATCTGTTATATAATTTAAAGTTTTCTTTTTGAAGGAGGATAGAGCTATCGATGATGGGATTCCGGAGTTTCTGAAGAACTCGATAATCTTACAAACTTTCGGGGTTAATTACAAGCACCCTTGTCAGGATGTTGAAAATGTTCTTATACCGCCTTATATTCCGCCGGAAAGTGTACGGAAGACCCTTGAGAAAGCACCGTTGACCGGGAACCGCGACATCATGGTCTTTTTCAGGGGCAAAATGGAGGTCCACCCCAAAAACATTAGTGGAAAATTTTACAGCAAGTAAGTTCCAAAATCAAAGTCTCAATCATGTTCGAAGTTGGTGTTTAATCATTGCATGGAAAATTACGTGATTATCCATGTTAATGTCGTCTTCGTTTTCGGTTCCAGGAGGGTGAGGACGGAAATTTGGCGGAGATACAACGGAGACCGGAGGTTTTACTTGCAAAGACATCGATTCGCCGGTTACCAGTCAGAAATCGTACGGTCGGTCTTTTGTTTGTGTCCACTTGGGTGGGCCCCTTGGAGCCCGAGGCTTGTTGAGTCCGTGGCATTGGGCTGCGTCCCGGTGATCATAGCGGACGGTATCCAGTTACCCTTCTCCTCTGCCGTGAACTGGCCAGAAATCTCCCTCACGGTGGCGGAAAGGGACGTTGGGAAGCTAGGGAGAATCCTGGAACACGTCGCGGCGACCAATTTGTCCACCATCCAGAAAAACTTGTGGGAACCGGCGGTCCCGCGGGCCCTACTGTTCAACGATCACATGCAAGAAGGCGACGCCACGTGGCAGGTGCTGGACTCGCTTTACAATAAGCTGGGCCGGTCCTACAGGAGGTCAAGGGTTTGGAGCCAATAGGAAGAGAACAGGTCGGATGAGTTCTTTGGGCGATCGGGTTGCCAGCTAAGGAACTGCTCTACCCCAAGGTGAATGCGGCTGCATGAGTGAGTTATAATGGAGGACAGCTGGGATTGCCGGTGTATTTATCAGAGGGATAGGATTTTATTCTATTCGAATGGGTCGGTGGGCCCACAAAAAAGCATGGGATATTTTTGTTTTGTTTTTTTTTTTGAGATTTTTCCTTGAAAAATACCATAGTTAATTATAGAAATAGCCTTTGTACATGGAGAAAGAGAACAAAGAAACTTATTTTTTGGGTAAATAATACATCATGTAATAGGTTTTCATAGGGACAAGACAGCCCATCTGGCCATGTCAAGTTTTGATTTGTGTTTTTGGAACTTGGTGCACACTGGCTTGTGTATATTATTCATTTCCATGGGCGTTTTTGAGATGCCCAAATCGTGTAAAGTATATACCTTGAAAGAAAAATTAGCTTTTGTTCTGGGGAAAAGGAGGGATTGTCCCGTAAATGGCCTTCAAAAGAGGGTTCTGCTAGCAGACTTTGTCAGAAGAGAGAGATAGAGAGAGAGAGTTAAAATAGGCTACAGTGGCAGCTAAAAAATGTCAGAGCAACTTAAATACGGGAGGATAGTCAGTGAGTGGGGGGAAGGAGGGTAATGGGGCCTTTGTGTGGAGACAGTGGTTCACGGGATACGGTGTGAATTAAAACTAACAAACAGAAACCATTTCTGGGGTTTAACGCAGCTGGGGCCATTGTTGCCAGAGTTTTTTGAAACTTTCGGGGTTCCCATTTCCTTTTTTGGGTGTCAGCAGGCTACGGCTCTTTGTTCGTTGCTTCACTGTCTTTGTATTGTATGTGTGCGCTCCTGCTTCATATGTTTTGAGTGGGCGATTGAACCTTGGATTTTGAAATAAATACTTGATAGGTCGGGTCAGGTCCTCTGCCTCATCTAGTGGTGAAAAATGAGAGCGTTACATTTCTTACTAAGTGAACTTTTTACAAAAGAGAATGATTTTATGATGATATGGTAGGGTGAGCCGACCTGAAATAAAGACATTGTGGATTCATGCAAGAAAATATGTTACCAAAACTCACATAAATGTAAACCTTGCCCACTTTATCTTATCAAATTAACCTTATAAGGAGAGACAATGATCTCATGAAACATGGTTTCGTCTCATATTTACCTTGTGTAATTGCCATTTCCCCATCCATGGGTCTAAAATTCACCAGTGTCTTCAAACAGTTTTCCAGTTGATCAAATCAATTCTTGTTGCCAGGGCAGCACACGGTGGAACGAAATTCAATTCAATGGCAAGGGGCGACTTCTGTTTTGTCTAATGCCTCGTGTGCAAAAAGAAATCTAGACTCTGTTTTTCTGAGGTGGTTAAAACAGTTTTAACTGTATGGAATATGGAATTGTTCCTTTTTACGTTGGCCATGTGCGGGGGAGGTTAGAAGAGGACAACACAAAAACATCCGACCTGCCGGATTCGAACCAGCGACCTAAGGATTATCTGTTGGATTTTTACCCACTACAGTCCTCCGCTCTACCAACTGAGCTAAGGTCGGTTTGAGAGTTAGTTCAACGGTGAACGAAAATCACGACTATAGCGCCGTTTTATTCGAGTTCGTGAATGAATTGTTTAGGTACATAGGCAGAGGTACGTATCATTAAGTCTGATATATACTTCTTTAAAGTGAATCATAAGTAATAGATTTGAATCTATGCTGATAGTTTTGAATGCTGCTGCATCCCATTCTCATTCAGCCATATCGTTCTGAGTTGAACAATGGATCAACCAGAACTCATGCACCCGAACGTGGGCTGCAGCCTTGTACATTATCAGATCCATTGATTTACAACATTGGCAGATTGCTATTTCACCTCAGGGCCTCGCCACAGGAAGCTGGTCAGTCTCTCAACATTGGGTTTTGGTTTTTAAGGGGCTGGTCAGTGCATGGTCACTCTCTCGACCTCCGGGATTCGATATTGTCACCAAATCTGCTGCATATGTCTCAACGAGCTTCAGAGAATTCGAGCCTGTAAAGCGCACTTGAATTCTTAAGAAAAAAAGGTTCATCAAAGAGATCTTAGCTACACAAGTATCCGTGACCATGACCCCATGCATCAGCATCTTGATTCGTTTTTTCAGCTGGATTAGGTTGAAGAAGAGATTCCTGCAGCTAGGCTTTTCTGATAAGCCAGGCGGATCACGTTGTCCTTCCAGATATATATATATATTCATCCCAAGCAGAGGTAGAGGAGTTTTGTACTCGTCATGGCCTCTTAACTCTTTACAGTGCATATTCCAATTCCTGTTCAGCTGTATCAGAAAGCAACGATTAACACCCTTTGGCAGCTTCCATAGATTTCAGGATTTCCTCGATACAAGATACATGTCATGGTTGCTATCAATCCTGTGTAGAGCCTGCGTCACCCATTTCCGCCCACCACCATCCGGAATCCAAATCTATATATATACACCAGCACCATATCTTTGTGAAGATTACAAAATGCATTACATGGTATTTGTATTGTTGGAGTTTGGCTTTTATTTTAGATATCAAGTTATCAACCATCAGAATTAAGAGTTACAGGCATAATTTTTACCATATTCTGAAATTTTCAGGACAAGAGACTGCCTTTGGGACTGTTTCCCCTTGTGCTTCCGAAGTACTGTGGAGCCAACAGTCAATGGTGAAGTTGTGATGCCTTTTGGGCCTCGAGAGTCCAAGACTAACAAGTGATCGATGTAGTATCCTTAAATTAATTTTAAGACCCAAGCTCATTATGGCTTTGCCACTTCTTCATTTTTTTTTATGAAATCCCAATATATAGGAATTATTTTTAAGACCCAAAACCATCATCGTCATGCATGAATTGAATGAATAAAACTTTATCAAGTTGGTTTTATAATATGTGCTTAAAGTATTTTTACAGGTCAAAAGCTTTTATAAAGTTATTATTATTATTATTATTTTTTATTTTGGTAGCCTATTTATTAGTATTTTATTGGCTTTTGAAAATAATTTTGAATTTATAGACGATCATGATTTCAAAAACTTAATTAATGTCTATTCTTCATATGAATACAAGGAGTTTTATTTATTTATTTAATTGTTAGCCATGAAAGAGATGCTTTTGATCATCAAATCATACAAGTATTCAATAAAAAACACCTATAAATTTTTACATAATATGTAAACGTGAGATGTCTAATTAACTATTTTGGCACTCTAATGGCTAATCATGCATTGCATTACTGCTTGTTATCCTTTAATGCATATCACAATGTAGCACCCATGATTATTTGATAAGGAAACAAACAACCATACTTTCAATTTTCAATCATGCATGCTCTTGATTACATCTTAGTTAGATCATTACTCAATAATTAGGTTTTTAGCAAGTTAAATTATAAATCCGTAGATATTACCAACATGTTTGGTTCAAAAGAATGGTCTTTCGAAATTTGTTCCAATCTTCAGATCGATCAAATTCGTCGTAAGAGAATTAATTGGTGCTGAACTAGACAATGATGATCTTAAGCAATAACATGAAAGAAAGAGTTTACATTCAACTGATTAGGCAGAAGCATTAAAAGAACTTTGTAAGACCTCAATGGAAGAAGGGATGTCACGTTCTCCGATGGCTACAAGGTATGTATGTACCATTATAGCTGCCTTGGATAAGGAATGGGAACAAAAAAACCAGCATGCATTGGCCCCATCGATCACGAGTTGAATTGGAGATTGTAACAAGTTGCTAAAAACACAGAGTCTGGTACCCAACGGAGGCTATATAGTGAATCCACATGCGAACTATCCATTCTCAGTAGGGATAAAGTGAAATCAATTGAGAAAAGTCAGATTGAGATGGGAGGAAGTGAATCATAGGATATAGGTGGCAAAATTAACCCGCGTGAACAAGTGAAGCAACCTACGATCCCTTTGTTTGTGGACCAAAATTCAACCCAAGCATCACATGTTTGTAAGCAGAGAGCTATTAAGAGACCCTCTACCCTTTAGACAAGACAGTCAAGGTTCAGAAATAGGAATGAACATAGTTGGGGTATCATTAATTTTAAAATATGTGTGTATCCGAAATATAAAATTTAATATTTATATTTTGTCTAAATTTGATTAACAAAATTTTATTATAATTTAAACTCATTTATTTCATATGACTGTCGATTAAAAAAAATTCAATTCGATCTAAATACTTTACAATTTTTACTCATATTATATTCGAACCCAGTAACAAAATACCTTAATCTTGCTTAAACAGATTGAATAATTAATACCAAATACTCATTACATACTACCCGTTACCATCTCTATTTACCAATGAGGCCAAAAAACACTAGTTCCCTCTGTTTCAGATTTGGTAAAGGGACAAACTCGATAAAGAAAGAAAAGCAATCCATCCCTTTCCATTAATAGTAACAAAGTGAATAGAAACATGCAAGGCCCCTTTGGCCGTTTCTGTTTCCTTTCATATCTCGTGACAAATTCTCCCATACGTACTGTCTTTCTTTGTAAGAAGGCACTCGCATAATCATTTTTATTCCAAGCAACAATGCAAACAGCAACAACAAAACAAATACAAACAAAAACCAACAAGGCCATATATATATATATATGCCAATCTTTGAGAGGCTTTGGACGCGCAATCACTGTTGCACCTTTTCTTGGCAAGCAGGACCCATCTCAACAAACCCCCAAATCAAACAAACTTGGATTAATATATTTGCAATAGTTGGTTAAAAATTATTAGCACTCGGGCGTCTGTGTATGGTCCCTCTTGGGGTCATGGCAGTAGTCATACACCAAATAGTTCCTTTGGGCCCAGTTCATGGCAGAGGCTTGTTGTTCACTGAGGCCGTCGGAGCCGGAGGGAGAGGCGGAGGGAGGGCGGCAGGAGGTGGGGCCGTCGGCGTTGCAGCCAGTTAGTTTGAAATTCGTGTACCTACCAATAAAGGGTTGGTAGCTGTAATCAGCCTTGTACCTTCCATTCTCGGTGGCCCAAGATGATGCATCCCATATTGATCCGTACACCCACATCGGTCTCGTTGGGAACGTGGCTTCACTCTTCCTTGCGTACCTCCTGATGGGCACATCATCCACGAAAAACCTGTTTGATTGATCCAATGAAAGCATTAATAAAATAATTCAGGGGAAATCTTTGGAGGGATTACCCAAACTTGCAAGCAAGAATTTAGTTTCCAATTCTTTGAAGGACTGTGGTTTACTTTCTTTGGATAGGATTCTTCTTCTTTTCCTTTTCCTAGGTGAGCGACAAACATGAACGTCGCTTTCCATCATAGTACAACCACATTAGAAAAAGTAACACAAAACCAAAACAATAACCCATCAAAATCAAAGTTAGTGACCCAATTTTTGCTCCTAAAATTACAAGACAAACCAAGTTATCATTACAAAAATTACGAGTGGACTTGGAAATTTTAATGTTAGATGCTTTGCCAGGTGTTGTCCTTCGTAAATGCATAGATATTTTCATTACCCCAAAAAGAAAAAGTATAGGAAATTGTTGATGTGTATTGATTGATATTTATATGAGAACTATAAATTTAAGAACTTTACATAGCTCACAATAAGCAAAAAAACAAAGAATAGGGTGTATATGTAGTCAAGATGAAGCATGCATGAAATGCATGTAGTCATGCATGTGATGATTACATAATTAAAGTTGCAAAAATTGGTGATATACTTACAGAATCTCACTAGGGGTCCACAGGATAGCATAGTTATGGTAGTCTTGGGTAGGATCAAACCATAGATGGAATCTCATTTCCCTCCCAATTAAGTTTCCATCCCCAGTTCCTCTGATGTACACGTTAGTCTGCAGAGTGTAGGGCTTATCTGGTGTTGTTCCAAGGAACTCAATATCAATTTCATCATGGTACCCAGGGTGCTCTTCATTGTTTGAAAGCTGTCAATTTATCAAAAATTCAGTTAGATTAGTTAAACAATTTTTTTTATTTCTCCTCAATGATTTTTTGTATGTTAATATTCTTACATAGAAAGATGTAATGACTCCTGCTGTGTAACCTGGTTGGAGCTTGATGGCAGCACCAAAGTAACCAGATTGGTACGAACGAAGTGACTTGAAACCACTTCCTGTTTTCACCATGAATGCAAAGAATTAGGCACATATATTCCAGTGACTGATCATCTCCAGGACCAGGAGAAGAAAATCATGAAATAAAAGAGACAAAAAAATGGGATGTGCAAGTGCAAGGACCTGAGCTTTTATCAAGCCAGACTGTTAATGAACCCTGGTCTATTCTCTGATGCTGGGGACCCCATAGATTTCTAAACCCTTGATCGAAGTCCACAGAACTAACCCTGGAGCTGGGAGAGTATCCAGGGGACGGTGGACCCTGAGCATTGCCTGAGGAAATTATGAGAAAAGCAAGAAGCACAGAGAAAATTGGAGCCATAAAGGGGACACAGAAATGAGAAGGCATCGAGAAGCAGCAGACTACCAGTAGTGAAACAAAAAAGGACTGTATGCTTAACTGCAGATTGGGACTTTTGGACCAAAAAATTGAAAGGTTTTGCAAATTAGGTTTGTGTATGGGAGAGTGTGGCAATACAGTTGGTATAAATAAGGCGATTGAAGGCCCCACCATGCAGGTAAGGTGATAAGTTGGCTGATGGGGGAGTTAGACATGGCGACAAAAACATGGAAAACTGATGATAAATATGGGGTAAGATTGTTGAACTTGTGAATTGTGATGTATCATGTTTTTTCCCCTTCTTTTCATTGCTTTTCTGAGAAAACTTGCTGCTTCTGTTTGCTCACTCTGAGAAGTAAAGGAAAGAAACTGTAAAGGAAGAGTAATTAATGGGAAGTTTCATGGGCCAGATCAGTTTTGATTTGATACAGTTTAGTAAACCTCGGAAGCTGATACAATATGATCAATGAATTCTTGGATATACTATAAAAGTAAAAATGGTTTTCACTTTCATTGGAAAAGCTATGTTGTGGGAAATTTGTACTGTGATCATTACCAAACTTGTCTCTTCTATTAACTTTACCATTCCAAATTTGATTTATTGAGTTTTGGAGGATACAATAAAAATAATTTTCTCTTTATCTCATAAATATATTTCGATATTTTATTTCTTGATACTCAAATATAAGATTATAGAATAAAAATTCTCCAAGTTTTAAACTATATACGTACAAGTTGCTTCTACCAAGCTGCTTACATTTTGTAATCAGTTTCGTTAAACAATATGTACATGCAAATTGTAGTTGTTAATCCAACAAAAGTTGACAAAAAAATAATCAGGGGGCAGTGAGGACCAGAGAAAGCTACGTTTAATTAAAATTCTAACTCATTATTATATATTCATGTTGCTATGAGGCTTGACATGACAGAGCTTTAATGGTCTACAAGGAAGAGCAACCTGATGGGGGTGCCTTGTAAAGATACATCAAGCTTTCTCTTTTACTTCAGGATGCCTGAAGTTATAAACATAATCAGTCTCTTCACTTATTGCTAGATGATTTTCGATTGAACTCATCCTAAAAGATTCAACAGGATCAAAGATCAAAAGACAGTGCATGTGGGAATATTGAATATTTGCTTTGCAGCTTGATAAGTAGTCAAACATTTCAGTGCAAAGGTTGGATATTTTTTGATCCAACTCCTTTCCTCTCTAGAACCCTTTCGTATTCCCACCCTAGTCTTCGTTGGCTAATTCTTTCATCTTAGCTTCAACGTTTTCCATTGGCAAGACGATTGACGTGGGGCACCTCTTCACTTTCTATCACACACACCTCGTTGATCAAAAAAGTCATTGCAATAGTTAGCCATGCCGACACTAGCTAGCAAATCATCAGGAAAATAATTCTTTTGAAAGAAGCCTCGTGGGTTTTCTTTGTTGTTTGATGATGAATCTTTAGATTCGCTAGTTGAGTGCTTGAGTTTGGGGTTACTGAGGAACTCCTCTGACACTTTTCTGTTTTCTCATACAAGTGGGATTTTCAGGGGACATAGGGGGCAAAGTAGTTGTCAAAATTTGAATGTAACTTGTGAGAATTTCAAACTTGGTGAACTACCTGTGAGTGAATAGCCATTCTTGAGTTAATAAAATATTCCAGGTTTTTCCATACTTGCTCTAATCAGTTGGTACCAACTTCTCCAGGCTACCTGTTGTCTCTGCATTCTAGCCAATAATCAATCTTATTTTCATTGTTCTCTCTGCAATACTTTATTAGACATAACCTACCCTGTAAAACGGCAGTTTCAAGTTTGACAAAAGGGATTAATAATTAAGAAATTAAAACAAGATCCTGAAATAGAAAATCAAAGCTCTATGTCAAGGGGATGTAACCCGAAAAGGTGGGTTGATTGCCGCTTGGACGGGAAGAAGTATGCCATGGTTGCTTGGAAGCATGAACAAAAGATATAATCAGAAAACATCAACCAAACTCAACTTGGTTGCAATGATTTATCAGTTAAAACACTTGGAAACAATGTTAAGTCACCTACTTAAAAAACTGTCCCCTTGGCTTAAGGAGAAAAAGTAACAGCATCCGGGAAAACCTGGTGGTTGAGTGGTTCATGTACTCAGTCAGATCAAATGACATGAAATCCAGGGTTCGATTTGCAATATGCTGCTGACACTTAATCCTTTTTCAGAGAAGTCGCATGGCAGAGTTCATTTCATCCATGTCCCATCATTAAAACTTTTGTGGTGATAAAAAGGGAAGTGGGGTAAAGAGAAAGAGATGGCTAAAAACAACAGTCTGACACAAATTTTCCAGGAATCAATAATTTTCTTAGGTCCGTTACATCATTCATAATCAAAATGATAATTACACCCTGCAGATTCCAATAACTTTACTAACTTTACTAACTATTTCGATTGGTAGATATCAATTTTAAACATTAATTTGGTGTCTAATAATTTTCAAACATATTTTCTTGACACGTATTTCATTGCTGGAGAATATTTGACTTAAATTATAATATTCATGTAAGGTCTTTTTCATAATTTTACATTATGTATTTGATTTTAGGATATTCATATAAGAAATTTATTGGATAAGTGATGCAAAATTATGAAGAGAAAACAGTCGAGACATCGGGCTGAAAAATTTTATGCCTCCGAAGTTGACAGAGCAGTCCTGTTCTGAGTGCTTGGCCGGTTATGGCCTACGTGAATGAATGCATGGGTCCTCTTCGATCACCGACAAAAACCCAGAAGCTTTAATCAAATCCAAACCCTCAAGACTTTCAAATTTTATGCATGTTGAACAATTCCAGGTACTTTTACTAGTTTAGCATTAAAAGCAAATCGTGTTCCAAACTTTTAATGTCAGCAGCTATGGCCAGAAAGAAAAAATAAAGGAAAATGTGGATAAAACTAAAACCAATGGCATAAATGAGGAAGGAACAGTTGTTGTGGCTTGGGTTTTAAGTGATCAAATTAAACAATTCTGGTCTGGAAAAGCCAACCAGGTAATTGGATGTTGCTAGATTCGAACTGATCACCATTTTCTAATCTCTTACCTTCTACCATAATCTTTCAGACATTAAGTTAATGTATTCCAACCAAAACCTGGTAACAACTTTCCTGGTCTGCCTAATTTTTGGCTGAGAATGAAAGTAACATACCAGCTACTTGTGTCAGACCATTTGAGTCTTTGTCCTGAAGAAGATTGATCAATGGAAGAGGACCGCAATTGCTTCAGATGTTTTGAAGCTTTAAAATGGACAAAGGGTTTTACTGACATTTACAGGACGAACTAAACAACATGAGAATTCAACGAATGTCTCTTGATGTTCTTACAAAATTACATTGCTTCACCTTCCTTTGCAATGTCTTTCATCACGTGTTAACATGTAATATTTTCTTATCCTAAAATTTTAACCTAATATCATATAAAATTTTAATCTTATCAAACAGTTGATTCATTGATTGATATATAATCTTCTTATAAAAATAAAGTTTGAATTCATCTTTTCTCAAATCTAAAAATAATTTTCTTTTTTTTCCTAAATATAAAAAAAATTTATAACTTAAGTCATCTAATCTTTCGTCAGCTTTCATGTGTGTTTTGGAATTAATATATAGCTTTTATTTATAGTTGTTACTCTTGATTTGTCATCTTCAATCCTTTGTCTTTCAATTTCAATTATTTTTAAAGCTGACTTTAAGGATTTATTTTTTTAATATTGACATTAACAAGTATACATTGATCTCTACTAATAATCGATCATCTTACAATATATGTATACGAGATTATATTTGATTCGTTGATAATATATAAATTGAAAGACAAACTATACAGATAAACAAGACGTAAGTAATCCCAAGCCGAATAAAGCAAGAACTTTTAGTTACACTTTATTTGGAGTTTGAAGCATGAAAAATTACTATAAGTTTTAAGTAGGATTAGGTCGAATTTGGGCTTGATTTTGGCCACCAAAAACATTGCTTTCATGCTATCTTTTATCAAGATTTCATGACTTCACAAGTCTCAACTGATACGGCGGGATTCGAATCAAATCAAGACAATGTCTAGACCCCTACTTACGCTAGCTGCGTCTAGTTCATTATTTAATTTGAACTTTTACATATATACTCATTATTTATACAAATGGATGATCGAGCCTAATTTGAAACAAAAAGGTTAATAGAAAATTACTGTTAAAACTTTTAGTTACAAATTATATAACCATAATGTTGTATCATTTATTTTACTTTGAGTACATCTAATTATTTGGGTATATGTCGATTATTCAAACATTTTGCCCGTGAAAGTTATGCAATATCTTTAGAATTCAAAGATAGGCATGTGCAATGTCCAACTATATATAAAAAATAAAAAAAAAGTTTTCAACCAATTACGAGAAAATGCTTATTATTTTCAATAAATATTATTTTAATATTCAATTTTGATACGCTTGTCTTTCAAAGTCAAAAAACAAAACTGAAGGGATCACGACTTTTAGAAGCTGACCTATGGAAATTCAGCTTTGAAACTGAAAAAATGGAACCTATCCCCATTTATATTCATATTTACAATATATAATTTCTGTTGGTGGATGCCTTCTCAAAATGAAATAATAATACCAAAATAAAATTATAATGCCAAAATAAAATCAAGCTTACAAAGACAAGATAATAAAAAGGTTTAGTGACATTATACATATATATATATATATATATATATAATTATAGATACATACCCAACATGATGGTGAAGAAGTAAGTCAAGGTTTAGTTTCTTAATAAATAATACTAAAAAGATTGGACATGGATAAAAGTTGTGTTTATCTTTTAAGATAAAAGAATATAGAAATTTAATTTTAAAAATACTTTCAATTCATTTGAAAATAACTCATATATGAACAAACATTGGTTATAAAAAAATATAAATAAATCTATTAAAGAAAAATAAAAATTTAGTTTTCTTTTTCTTTACTTATATATTTAAATTAAGTTAATAAAATTCCATTAACAAGTAGAAAATGAAAAGAAAGTAAAAAAAGAAGCAAAAAGGAAACAAGAAAGTTAAATCGCTCAATTGCTTATTACGTTCATATTCTATACCATATATAATATCTTTAACATAGTTTCTAAAAAAATCAAATGCAATAAATTTTTAAAATCTAACTCAATTATAGAAAAAAGAGATAGTATTCAAGTTAATTTGGTTGCTAGTATTCAAGAAGAAATGTTTAAAGATGATAAATTTATTGCATAGCTCTTACTGCATTAAATATGCTGGCAATGAACTAAAATCATTTCAATCTCTGAAATATAACCAAGTACATGAATGTGTCACACTCACTTGTTAAGTCAAGAAATTAATGCATAAATTTATCAACAATTATTCAATACATTAAAGGTCAAAGGCATTGTAGAGTAGAAGTAGGCTCTTGGCTTTGGTTCTTATTATATTGTTGATTGAAAAGTTGAATTAATCATTTTTTTTCTTTCATTTTCATTTTTTTTGTCTATTTCAGGCACTTGCCAAAGAAATTGTGAGATCCAGGAGAACGGTCAATCGCCTATATGAAAATAAGGCACAAATGAATTCAATATCAATGCACCTTGGGGAAAGTGTAGGTATGATGTTTCACATATCTAAGTGTATGTTTCTGTTCTGCCTATATGCACTTTATCATTGTAAACTATGGAATTATTACTGCTTTTGTTCATCAATTTTTTTGGTTGAATTTTTCTGATACATTGCAGCAATTGCCCGTACAGTTGGGCACTTGTCCAAGAGTGCTGAGGTTATGAAGCTTGTCAATAACCTCATGAAGGCTCCAGAAGTGGCTGTCACAATGCAAGAGTTCGGCAAAGAGATGACTAAGGTGTCTTTGCTATTTATTTATATCTTAAGTACCAAGGCAAATATGGATAAATGATGACCTTCCAGTTGATCAGAACACCTTTTTTTGGCTGTATATCTTTTATTTGAGAATGATATCTGAACTTTTAACTTATCAACCTGAACTACAAGTTATGTGTGTGTGTAAGCTTTTATTCTCCACTCTAGCCTTGTTGGTTACATGTGGTTCTCATTACTTGGAACATAAATATATAAAAGTTAGACCATTTCCTAATAGCTTAAACTTTTGGGACTGGTGGTCGGCCAACTATCTCTTAGACATGATGCATAAATTATGCCTGCTATCTGAAAAGAGATGGTCAATGTACTCATCAGATAGTTTATTTTCCGCATTAAATTGTAGGCAGGGGTAATTGAGGAGTTTGTTGATGATGCTCTTGACAACGCACTGGATTCAGAGGATATAGAAGAGGAGATAGAAGAAGAAGTTGACAAGGTCTTGACATCTATTGCTGGTGAGACTGCTGCGCAGCTTCCAGAAGCAGTAAGGAAGGAGAAGATGAAGCAGCCTGCTCAGACAACACCACAGGAGGCACGTTTAATACAAATGTTTTTTAATGTTCTTCTGGCTAATCTTCACTAGGTGCTAACCTGAAGGGGTTTTCCTTTTTATGCTTACAGGAAGAAGCTATAGCTGAGGGAGTTGATGATGAGGAAGAACTAGAAGAAATAAGGGCCTGACTTGCAAAAGTTCGGTCATAAGTCAAGCGTTCAGTCTTTTCCTATTCTCCTTGCTTAATAGAGAAATGGTGATCATGCTGACTAGTTGGTTGCCTCTGAGTTGGATTGCTTAATTGAGATTTCAGCCTTCTGTGTATCTGTAAACCGGCACATTGTAGCTAATATCATGTAACGCCTACAGTTGCTATTTAGTTATTCCTGTGGGCAAGATCTGTATTACATCTAGGAGAATTGATGTGTTTAAACTCTTTTTATACTCTCCACTGAGCAAGAATAAACCATTTTAATTAATAATCTGTTGTATATCTGTTAAGTAATTATTTGTTAGTATTGTGGTTAGAGCAACAGTAAAAGCTGATCAAATTCTTCTATTCGGACAATGATCATGGTTGTGCATTTTGTTCTTTTTGATTATAAGGTACCCCTTTCATCGTGAACACGAGCTGCAGTCTGTAGTATTTTGCAAAGATCAGCCCTTTTTTCCTCTCTTGAATTGCTTATCACCTAGCATGCTTCTTTCTGCCCATCCCCACCTTGCAGACCTGTAAGGTGCACATCTGACCAAATGATGAAGCTCGAATAAGTTTCCTGGGACTGAGTTTATCTTCTTGCCAGAGGCCAAAGAAGTATATCATTCTTTTTCTTTGAAAATCAAGTGTAATAATTGTCAAATCATCATGTGTTCATGCTTGATGCATTAGATTTATCTTCATTCCATCTTGAAGTATATCATTCTACTATGGATTGAAAAGGTCAGGTGAAACAGCTAAGGACAGTAGCTGATACGGAACATGTGATTGGTGAGAACTTCTTTCTTGTTGATGGTTGTTTGAAATTTGATGATGTTTCTGTCAATCCTCTGCCAAAGAATCAATCCAGGGTTGCAAGAAGAATAGCAAGACGAGTTGTTCTCTGCATAACCATCAGCTTCCTACATGTTTTTGGTGTGAACCATTCGCCCAACAACAATGTGATCATACGGCATAACAAAAGTTTGCAGACAAGAAAGAATCTCTTAACAACAAATCCCAAGTCCAACATGAAACTGCACGTTTTTTACAAATACCACACACGTGCACAAACACACATATATACGACAAGTCTTTAGGCTTCATAGCCTTCAGTACACGTTTTTTTCTTATCTAATTAGCAAGAAAAATTATGGGAAAGATGAGTGATGAAGATTTCTCTTTCTAACCCTTTTACAAGCCAAAGATGGTAACTAAGATTCTCGGTAAATGTTGCACCGCCACATTAGAGATCATGGAATATAGAATCCACCCCAAAACGAAGAGAGTACAAAGCGAAAGGCATTTCACTTATATCGGAGCCATCAATCACATTCTTGTTAGGGGAATAGAGGGGTCCCCATGTTCCTGCCATCTTATTCTTCAAACGTTTGAGTGAAGTCAAATGCTTTGTCCTTTCTTCGATTTGGTTTTGATGCCTTGTACGCAAACACTGTCGTTCTAACCTTGTCTTAAAAGCCCAATTTCCCAGAAAAGCAAACGCGGAACAAGATTGAAAGGATAGGCATAGGCATGTGAGGTTCCTGAAACAAGAATTTCGGATAAAGAAAGGAACAGGAACCTTGTACACAAACTCCCATTATTCAGATCAAACAAACATGATTAATACATTTTTGGGTTTTTAGTTTCCTAAAAGACAAATCAAATAACCAAATTATGTCATCGTGAAGGACAAACCTAGATGAAAAGCAAAGGTGGCAAACCTTAAACGACAAGGCAAGCCATGTGTATAACTAACGATGAACTACAAACTTTTGCCTAATGAAACATATAAATTATGATGGGTAGTGATCATTTCTACAAGTTTTAGATAAAAATTTGAATAACATGATAGAGACAAGCATGTTCAATGATCATGGAGACATGAATTTCAATGTTACAAAAATCAGAAGGTTAATGGAAAAATCTGATCTGTTTAAGCTTTAAAGACGTAAAAGATTGATTTTTTGATGATTTGTTGGGATAATTAAATTTTTGAGAAAATGAACGTAAATTCGATTAGTGGGGTTAAATTCAATGAATGAAAATTAATTAACATTTATCAGATGTAATTATCCATTTCATTGTTAGGGAATGATTTTGAAGAATTATCACTACTTAACATTTATGATAATTTTAAAAAAATTCGATTCATCTAAATAATTTTAAGAGTTATCCAAGTAATTTTAAATTAAATTTGGAATGATTATTGACCTTAAATTCAAAGCACTTTTATCAAATTCATGAAATTAAATGAAGGGAAACTTTCTAATGAATGTGGCAATCCTTTAAACTAAGCCTAGAGACTTCCCCAATCTGAATGTAGCTTAATTCCTATTAAAAAAAAACTTACCATTGTTAGGATGTAAATAAAATCTTTGAATTTTATAATTCTGAGTCTTTTTTTTTAATTTAGAAAATACACGTGGAGACACACACGCATTCCTTGAGAAGTTGCAGAAAGAGTGGGGTTAGTGAGCGTGTGAGGAGGTTAAAGGACATTATTGAGTTACTATAGTTGCCTTTGCTTGTTAATGAGAAAATATTAATGCAAATTATTAAGTTACTGTTTATCTAAATCATTTATATATATGATTGGGTCAAAAAAACAATCTTGGCTTATCAATAATTTCATACCATTATTCATAATAATAGCCTTATATTAATATTTGCCAGATTCTTGTGCTAAAACTATTTTTGTATGAACTAAACCATGGTCTTTCTTCATTTTCTTGACAACATTGACAGTACTGCTAATAAAGTCAAAATATATCCAGCTGTGTGTGAAGATTAATTAAGATTCAAGCATGCAAAATAATGGAAAGGTGGAGGAAAGAGTAGAAAAGCAAATCAATGATAAAAAGTAAGAGGTTTCATACCAAAAGCCAGGAGAGAGAAAAAGAACATGATGGTGAGCGTTAAGTATCATTTTTCTTTGTATTTGGACTGTCTCCAGTTTGGGTTTGATTAAACTCTATAAAAACCAGACAAGACCTGCATTCTTCATCTCCCAAGATAACGTCCCAGACAAAAATGGCCTCAAATTTCTGCCAGAATCTCCTTTTACTTTCTCTTTTTCTGCTCTTTGCATCATCATTCTCAGCTAAAGCTGATTCCCTGAGGAAACACCAAGTTAACTTGTCTCCAACTTCTAGTCTGGCAAAGCAACAGGCAGAAAAGCTCATAAGAGGACTCAACTTGTCCCCAAAAGATGGTGTGAATGCTGGTTTCGATGACCTTGCTGTTGAGACTTCGAAGGTTGTTGAAAAGCAATTCAGTTTCCCTGTCCTTGGTGCTCCTGGGCCTTCCATTCAGGAGTTTGGTCACCATGCTGGGTACTATAAACTTGAACATGCTAAAGCTGCAAGGTAAGCCATGAGTTCTAAATCATAAGTAACAAATTCTCTCTTCTTCGATCAACATCATACGTATGTAAGTATAAATTACAAGCCCAGCAACGGAAAACTATGTTTCTGGCTATTGCAAACATGTACAAGTTGGAAAATCATGGCACTATTAGAACTGGTTGCGAATGAGAAATTGATGCACATACCTTGCTTGATTTCCATTCAGATTTCGCCTCTGTTCTATCATTGTGTGCTAAAAGTTCCCTCTTTGTTTCTCATTAACTGATTACGGATTCTTTCTCTCCTCTTAACGTGGCAGGATGTTTTACTTTTTCTTCGAATCAAGGAACAGCAAAAATGATCCTGTAGTAATTTGGTTGACTGGAGGTCCCGGATGCAGTAGTGAATTGGCATTGTTTTATGAGAATGGTCCTTTCCATATTGCTAAAAACTTGTCGCTTTTATGGAATGACTATGGCTGGGACAAGGTATCTGATAAGAGTTCCAAAACTTTCCTCTGATACGCTTCTATGATACTCTTATGAATCCACGTTGCGTTGTTCCTTGGCAGACATCAAACATTCTGTATGTAGATCAGCCCACCGGAACTGGTTTCAGTTATACTTCAGATGATGATGACATTCGTCATGATGAAAATGGTGTCAGCAACGATTTGTATGACTTCTTGCAGGTCTATCTCTTTCTTATTTATGTTCTGAAAACAGTTCAGGATTTATCAGAATAAAACAGTTCATCTCAGAATTCAGTTGACTGTAAACTGTCTTCTGTACTTTTTAGGCATTCTTTAAGGAGCATCCTCAGTATGCTAAGAATGACTTTTATATAACCGGAGAATCTTATGCTGGGCATTACATACCTGCTTTTGCTGCCCGAGTTCACCAGGGAAACAAAGCGAAGGCGGGAATTCATGTTAACCTGAAGGTATATATACCTTTTCACTTCTTCTATATACCATTGGAATACAGACCTTTTATTTTGATGTTCTGGTTTTAGATTAAGTTTTGAATGGTTGAACAGGGTTTTGCCATCGGTAACGGCCTAACAAATCCTGAAATACAGTACCAAGCGTACCCAGATTATGCTTTGAACACAAGTTTAATCACTCAATCTGATTATGTCAGAATTAAGAAGCTGGTTCCAACATGTGTCCAGGCAATCAAAAGATGTGGTAATTCTTCACTGCTGATAGCTCTGAAAGATTAAAATCATATATCTATGTTTTTTCTTTTGGAATTCGGTTTTCATGTTGAACCCATGTTAGGCTCTAGTGGAGGAAATGCTTGTGTGATGTCTTTCTCTATCTGCAACAATATCTTTAATCAGATCCTGAGTATCGCTGGTAATGTAAATGTAAGTAAGATACCACAACATTTCCTTGTTTAAATTCACCAAAGAAGAAATTACAATTCTCATATCTTTGGCTTACAGTACTATGACATCAGAAAGAATTGCGAAGGAGACCTGTGCTACGACTTCTCAGACATGGAGACATTCCTGAATCTGACATCAGTCAGGGATGCACTTGGGGTTGGAGAGATGGACTTTGTGTCATGCAGCAGCGTAGTATATGATGCAATGATCATGGACTGGATGAAGAATCTTGAAGTTGGGATTCCGGCTCTTCTTGAGGATGGCATCAATGTGCTTATATATGCTGGGGAGTATGATCTTATCTGCAACTGGCTTGGTGAGACTCTTTGCTTCCAGCTAGAGCTCCTTCTTGAAGAAAATAATAGACTGTTTGACCTGCTAAACTATTGTCTTTTATCACTTGGGGTAGGAAATTCGAATTGGGTTCATGCTATGACATGGTCCGGCCAGAAAGAGTTTGGGGCAGCTCCCACCGTTCCGTTTGTAGTTGATGGTGCAGAAGCAGGGCAACTGAAAAGCCATGGTCCTCTCACTTTCCTCAAGGTCTAAATCCCTCCTTCATATTTCCTTTTTCTAATAATTTAAGTTTTGAAGTGATGATGACCTTCACTGTTTGCATTTGCAACCTGGGAAAACCCCAAAAAACAAAAATACAAAAATGCAGGTTCATGATGCTGGACACATGGTTCCAATGGATCAACCAAAAGCTTCATTACAGATGCTGCAGAACTGGATGCAGGGGAAGCTAGCCTCATACGAGACAGCAGACAGTTGAGTGTCTCTCCCAAATTACACAATCAATCTGGATTTTAGGCACAAATGCATTTGTAAATTCAAATTGTGATTTTCCAAGCTTTTCATTGTTCCAAACAGTCCACTCGCGTGGCATTGGCCATTATCCAAGAAAATGAGAAGTACATTGACTAATCTAACGGATCCAATTCTTTTCTTTCCTACCATTGTGCTTGCTATTACTGACAAATATCTTAATTAAGCAAGAAGCAAGAAAGAAAAGTTATTCACTCTAATAACCTCATAATAAGCTCAAAATCCCAATATTCTAGTACAGTGTTTCTCAGAAATAGATAGAATTACCATAACCAGAAGCTCTACAAGCACCAAATGGTCGAATTAAACAATCTTACAAAATATCTTAGCTCAACCTAGTCTAGAACATCACTGAAGCTTTGTGCTGAACCAAGAATACTAAGCAGCCTTTTTTTTTGAAGAGCAATGCAAATTTCATTAACTGGAGGGAATAACATTTTCTCCTCCTTCTGAACAAGACACAACAACGACAAGAGAACATGAAGATTTGGTTTGTATACCAGTGAAATTTTACACTCAGCCTGGTATATCTCTCCAAAACTCCTTCAAAAGACTCAAGCTCCCTCTATCCTGGACAAAAGAATAACCCCACCATTCTCAATACAGACCAAAAAACATCTCCCAATCAGCTTCCTAACATTACATGAAGCCCCCAGAACCCTCAGCTCCATATATTACTCCATATAGATCTTTCAAGGTCTCAATCACTGGCTGAAAACCAGACCTCAAAGGAACAACTGATGTCATTCGCAGATGCTCTGCATTACCCCTTTTAGGCTTGCTCAAAGTGATTCTGAACATTTCTCCCACCAAAGCATTACTAGCATTTTTAGCTGTTTAAGCATCAAACAAGCCAAAACCTTAGAGCATAAATTGGCAAGCAAGTTCCCACTTCCCATGATGAGAAGTGTGGCTTTGAATCAGAAATACCAAGATGAAATAAGCTCTGAAAGTAATTGTAAATGGAGTCATTACTCTCTTACCAGCCCTCAAGCCTGGGGCATGAGGCTCGAGTGCTCTGACCCCAAGCACACCAAGCCAACAAGCCGAGGGCTTGTAACAGTAAACAGTCATACAAAAAGAACAATTCTAAAACGTACTCCTTTACCCTATACTTGGTTCTTTACGAGCCAAAACAAAATCACTCATAAATTAGGAAGTCTTAAAGGTTTAACCTTGCTCACTTGAAGAATCACCTAGCCATCTTTCAATCAAAATAGTTCCTTTGCACATAAAAGTGATTGCCAAGAAAATATCGGGAGAATGAATGAAATCATAAAACTACCAGTTGTAAGCAATCGTGGGCTTATGGTCTACATCCTTATTCTCAACCAGCTCTACATTGCAAATTCACATAAACATTGCTAAAACAAGAAAGATACCAGCATAAGGGTGAAGGGTCGCAAAGTCAAAGAATTGCTGAGCAGAACAACCAAAGATGACCTTAGCAGCCCTATCAAAGCATACCACGTTTAAAACCTTTGTGTCTGTTGCTATTGAGAACTGCCAAAACACCCAAAAACAAAAAACAAAAACAGAGCAAAAGAAACACTTTAGCAGTAATCAACAAAAGATAGAACCTTTAAAATCCAACTAAAAGAAATAAAGAATAAAAGGGCATAAAGTTGAGATGACCCAGCTAATGAAAAGCCAAGAAAAAAGAAAGAGAAGAGGGGGGTTACGGTGGAACATACAAGAAGGCGAAAGAGACGTTTGAAGGGGTAGCGGCGACCCTTGCAGGCGTTGCAAAAAGTATGGGAAGGGCTGTCAGGCATTGGCGTTTCACAATTAGAGCAGGCTTTGTAACAAAAGCTGGATTGATCCATTGCTAGCACTGTGCATATCACTGTTGTAGGTTTATCAATATCCATCCCTTCTCTCTCTTTCCTTCTGGGTTTCTGCTTCTCACCCTGAGTATTACAAGCACTCCCCCCACGCCCTGTCAATGCCCTTTTTAAATTCCTTCTTTGACAGTTTGACTTGCCCCTCTCAATATTTATCTTTGGGGGTTTCTTGTAATTTGACATAAAAATATTTTTAATTAGAAAAGGAAAAGCCAAGTGAATGAAGTTTTTTTATACTCTGCCATTTCCTATGTTACCATCAACTTTGGCTACAAAATTCCCATCTCATTTCCGTTGGCTGCCGATGCCTGTAAACATGAACTGAGACTTGGTTACTTTACTTATCTGGGGTGACCTTCATTGACAGACTTGGAAGTCAAGAGGAAGGCATCCACAGTTACATTTTTTTTTTGTTAGATAGCAACATCCTCAATCAACTGTTGTAGCAAAATAGAACACAATTCGAGCATTGCCTCTATTTCATGACACTAACTAGCACAACATGGCCATATTAAACCATTGGGAGGGATGATTGTATGAAACGGTAAAATGTTTATAGTTTTGAACACTTCTGCACAAAAGTGGTAGCTCGAAATTACATAGACTGTATAGTGGCAGTTTGGGTATGATTGTGTGCAACTTGCTGAAGGACTTGACTACCATTGACATGTGCTTGTGAGGTTATACCAGATGCGTAGCTGAGAATGGAGAATCGGTCCATATGGATCCCCAGAAAAGAAATAAGAGGATCTGCTCGAGACCTGCTGATAACAAACTTCAAGTACTGAGATTGAACTGTGGGAAATTGCAGCAACCTCTTATATCCCACTGTGGTGCCATTAATCACTTTCTTCCATCCACCTCCATTCAGGATCTCAAGATTGAACTCGATGATACGTTGTCCCATGTGAATTGGCTCTTGAACTTGCAAGACATTGAAAGATAATGATTCTTGAAGGTTTAAATATAAGACCCAATCAGACTGATCCTCTTCAGGAGCCCAATAGGTGTAAATACCGTCTTCAAGTACATTATAGGGGCTGAATTGAGAATTATCATTGCCTCCGCGTATACTGCTGGCATTTAGCATAGCATTCTTGGCCAAATTATCCGAGAATATGGACCTCCGAAGCTCCTTGAATTCTTGGAGCACTTGAATATCTTCATCTGAAATAAGACCTGACGAATTTGGAGGCACATTTAGCAGCAAAAGACAATTTCGACCAGCTGATCTGTAGTATATGTCAAGAAGCTTCAATGCTGACTTTGGAACTTCAGATGCATGCCAAAACCAACCAGGGCTGATTGAGACATCGCACTCAGCAGGTACCCAGTCATGTCCATAAGGGTCTCCTGCTTGAGAGTATCTGTTAATCAAACATAATTTCATGACACTCAGATAGTTTGACTCCAAAAAGAATGAAAAGAACAAAAAAGGGACTGGCTTGTTAGTGATTTGAAGCAAGCACCAAGCAGGAGCATGACTTCATAGCATCCGAGGGAATTAGGATGGCATAAGCACTGGGTAGCAGATGGTTTTCAGCAAACCAATCATCTTCAGCTGGACATAAATCTAAATTATCACTTCTAACAGGTGAAACAGGAAAATATGCTTACTGAGGATCAGTTCCACCAATTTCTGCATCGCTTCGATTGAAAAGAGACCAACAACTAGAACCAGCGATGCCAGCCTCATCGCCAATCCACCTGGTGTCAGGACCAGTATCAGAGAAGATAACAGCACCTGGTTGGAGCTGACGAATGAGACTAAACCAAGCATCAAAATAATACTCCATATCTTTTTCCCCCTCCCCTTTTGCGCCATCCAACCATACTTCCTTGATATCTCCATACCTGCTTAAATTTGAAAAGAGAAATTTCATTCCTCAATTCTCAACCCAAAACAACCTAAAATGGAATAAATAACTATGAACATAGGAGTCTCTCAATACCATAATTACTTGATTTGGCAGAAATTAACCAAAAAGAAACCTTGAAATTTGAAAGAAAAACCAAGCTTCAATTTAGTTGAAATTTACTCTTACAATCAGCTATCTAGAAGTAGAAGCTAATGCAATAGTTATAAAACTTATCAGTCCCATAAGCAAACGACTAGTTCATATGAACATAAATCAATGCACAAAATCAGAGCACAATTTCCTTAAATGTAGAGAGGATTAAACACTAAAGAAAGAAAGACAAGGCCAATGTAGAGAATAAAGATTACCTAAGTGCTAAATTTAGAAAATGAACAATATCAACAAGCACAAAAATGAGAAAAACATACCAAAGATTAGAAACAAAATCAAGAGAAAACTTAAAAAACCAAACAAAACAATCAATTACCTAGACAACAACTCAACCATCTGCCCCATATAGAATTCATTGTACTCCACAGTCTTCCCATAGCAATTCTCATGCCTATCCCATGGAGATAAATAAAGCCCCAATGCTACCCCAGCTTCCTTAGCAGCCGTAGCCAGCTCAGCAACAACATCGCCCTTCCCATTCCTCCACGGACTCGCCTTCACAGAATAATCCGTGTATTCACTTGGCCACAAGCAGAAGCCATCATGGTGCTTTGCTGTAAGGATCACCCTTGAAAACCCAGCTTCCTCGGCTACATGCACCCACTGAGAAGCATTTAGTCGGGTAGGGTTGAATACAGACGGGTTGGCATGGCCTGTGCCCCACTCCGAGTCAGTGAAGGTGTTGGGTCCAAAGTGGAGGAAGAGAGCCATCGAAGAGAGTTGCCATTGGAGCTGAGGAGCTGAAGGGAGGGGTAAAATGGGCAAAGGGGGTGGCGTTTTGAGGGCGGTATGGGGAATGAAGGTGAAAAACAAGATGATCAGGATTGTCAAAGCGCGTAGCGAAATGGGATTTGTAGAATTCAAGGCTTGAGTTCGCCTCTTGATGTTTCTGACGTTATTGTCGTTGCTGTTGCTGTTGTCTGTGTTCATGGTGAAAGACAGGAAGGAGAGGGGCAAGATGAAGTCTGAAAAGTGGATGTTTCAGTTTCTAAACTGAAAGTGTTAAATCTGGGAGAACGACTTTCCGTTCTTCGCATTGATACTCTTCAGTTCCCAGGATTCAATGCTGTGCTTCATCCTCCTTTCAAGACTGCCCGAGCCTTCCTTTCGAGATTTGACCATGGGGTTGTTGCTGATAATTACACGGGGCCACGTGCAAGGAAAAGCTTGGCACGGTATGGTATGAGACTATGACTCTATTTCTTGGATAAAATGAACCGGTCAAGTCAAAATTTATGGGATCAAATGTATGTATTAATTCCTTCCATATTCAAATAGTTTTAACCATAAATCTTCCCAGCGAGGCAACTGCTGTAAAAATGGAGTTTGCTGCAACATTTTCCAAGTTCCAATCAAGGGTTGGGAACGAGGATTTAGAATTTTGATGCAATTGGATGTTGGGAGTGTTGCCATGACTTTAAGCTAAGATTGCCTTCGAGTTTAAACATCGCATTTCCTTTGCTTTCGAGATAACTACCCATGGGCGGCTGCTATTGCCTGCTTGGGTCATGGTCATGGAGAAAGGAGGAATGGCTTCCATTTTAACGCATATGTTCACCAAAACAAGAAGTCGATTCGACCTTATCATCAAAATGAAAGACGCTTTGCAAATTGGCAAAGGATGAACTTGAAAGAAAGGAAAAGAGCAACCAAATAAGGTAGGAATAGTAATAAATAAGTTACTAGTTAATTATGAGATAATCATATCTACATTCGATTATAAAATTTAAATTTAATAATTAAAAAATAATTTTATTTTTATTTATTTTATATTCAAATAATTTTTAATTATAAATAATATATCTATTAAAATTTAATATAAAATATATATTAAAATCATATTATTTATAATTAAATTCAAATAACAAATTCTCTAATAACACCGTTACTCATACTCTATCCAAACCCATTTATGTAGGTATACTTACGAATAACGACCTTGGAGTATCAGTTACCCAGAACTCCGTCCAAACCTATTTATAAAATACCCTAATCTTAATTGAACGGATTAAATTTTGTTAAATACTTATTTACATACATCCCATTGCCATCTCTAAATGTGGTCATAGGCATTCCACATTGTAATGGGCTGAAGGCCTGGCCAGATGCTTTGGGCTAAGAATTGGGCTTATATCTATTCAAACGTAGTTAACCATGGGAACCAAAGCCCATCATTGTAGGGTTGGCAAGGCAAAGAGGGTACAAACCCAACTCAAATTTACTTAATAAAAGTTTATTATATTAAATATAATTTAATCATTTTTTTTCGTGGGATAAAAGAATTTTAAGATCAAATGGTACCAAACTACCAATCGAAATTACAAAGAGTATCTTTATTTGAGGAAACAGAATATTCCTTTTATTTTCTTTTTTGATCTGTTGTTTAAGAAGGAATATACCATAAATAGTAGTATATGCCATTATTAACTTCCTTTTTTTTTTTAGCATTATTAGCTTACTTTTTATCTTGTTGATGCTCTTTTTTTATTTTTAATTAAGTGGAAATTTTATTTTCCTTTTTTTAGAAAAAAATTGAGTGGAATTTTTTATGAATTTATTAATAACTAATAATGATTATCAAAATCTTGAATTTTTTTCTTTATTCATCTTTCTATTTCGAAATGTCTCAAAATGAAATATTTTTTTCGAATATCTAATACTTTTATTTGCTTAATTTTAATTTGTTTTTATAAAGTTTTTTATTTTTTATATTAAAAATATTTTTGGTTTTTTATAATTTTTTTTTATAATTACTTACCAAAAAAAAAAAGTCTCTGCATGCCTACCACTAGGACTTACCTCTCTAGCTGAAATCCAAATACATTTTGCAAGAAATTGATATAATTTTCAAACCAAATTTTCTTACCAACCAGATCAAATGCATAGATCTTGTAAGGATGTGAGACATGACAGGAATCAAAGTCTCATGTCTAAAAAATGAATGAATGAATTAAAATAAAAATCGAATATCTTTTTTATTTTTTCAGTAAAATGGATACAAAGGAGGGAAGGAAATGATTTAATTAAAGCCTGCGTTTACACGAGTTGGTTGATTGATTGATTGACTGATTGGTTACCGTCTGATCTGAGGCACCTCTCGGCCAACAAAACCCGCCACGTAAGTCCTCGTCCGAGTACGAAAACACTTATTACTCGCTTTATTAATTAGCCACGTCTGATTTTGGAGGAGAAAAGGATAAAAACTGACCCATAACCACGCGCCAGTGAAGCCGCCCGCCAGTGGGGGCCACGAAAAGGGCCCGAAGGAAAAAAAAGGTGACACGAAGCTCGAGGCAGAAACGGACACGTTTCGAGCAATAACAAGCACGAATCTTGAAACTGATTATATTTAAAATAAAAATTCTTATATTTAATTTTTTTTTTTTTATTTGCGATTGTAACATGGCGTACGCAACATGTTACGTCATTGGAGACAGCTAGTGAGAAAAGTGATTTTGTCCTTTGTCCACTCAGAATCCCAGTTTTCTTTTTGGCTTTTTTTTTTTTTAAATTTTTTCATTTGAAGCCTTGAGTGAGAGGACTTCTGTTTGACTTTTGTCTCATGGGTGGGTGTTCTCAAGTTTCCATTCTTTTTTCCTATTTTGGTTCAAGACCCTCTATTTATCATAATTTTCTCTTTGCTCCCTCAACTCTTCTTGAATTTTCTCAAATAGGACTATTTGATCTTGTTCTTATGGATTTCAATCCTTCAATGTCTTATAATTTAGTTACTGTTTTGTGTCTAAGTATTGGACAAAGGAGAATGAGTAAGTTTTCTATTTTTTGGGCTTTTTAACTTTTTTCTAAAGACAAATCTTTAAATTTTTTTAAAAAATTCTAGCGATCTCATAGTTATTCTTTAATAAAATTAAGTCTAATAATCAAATACTTAAAATATCACCGTACTACTCCATTTCTCTCATTCATTGATTATAACTTAAACGTATCGTTACACTGCTCTGTTTCTCTCATTTGTTGATTATAATAATTATTAATTTGAAGAACGCAAAGCGTTACCTAACTCAATTTCTGATGAAAATCGTTACGAAAATCTTGCTGGCCTTCTACTTGAGACTAGATATATAAAATTTAATGTGCAAGTTGTTATAAACAAATACATTAAAGTTTTAATTTTAATTTTTTATCTATGTCCAATAACCTCAAATTCAATGTGCAAATATATAAAAATGTCAAACTTGGAGATGCATTTAGAAAACTAGGGGCAGAGGTGCAAAAGATGAAAATAAACAAAAGTCTTATTAATTAGTTCATAATATAATATATAATATTCCAAATTATAATTTAGGATTATAATAATAATGAAGCGGGTACAGCATGCAAAATTTTTCTAGCTTAGTTTGCCAACCGTTGAGAAAGGGAAGAAGAAGGAGAAGAAAAAAGAAATTGATCTCTCTTTCTTGTCCAAGAGTCAATGCAGATGATGACACTTGTCTTTTTAATTTTTAATTTTTTAATGCTTTTTTTATTATATCCAATCATAGATTGATTTGATTAAATTAACCATCTGTTTTGTTATTTTGATAGTGAAATCTTTTAGAACCAAAACCCTCTAAAGATTCCTTTGAGAAAGAAAAGACAGAGCTACGAAGATTCATTTTCTAGAGAAGTCTTTTTGTTTAATCAATTAAAATCTGAATTACTCTATTATTGATTTATAAATTTTTTATACTGCCAGTGAACCAATCGTTAACATTTTATTAAAAAACTTAAAACATAAATATTCATTAAAAAAAATTTAATTTGATCATATTTTATGATTTGGGTTTAATGATTAATAAGATTTGGGTTTAATGATTAAGTATCCTTTTACAGATAAGATTTGGGTTTAGGTATTTTTGCAATCATATGCTTGGTCTGCATGCATGGTATATATACTTATGCATACAAACAAACATAAACCATATGTCGGTAGTTTATAATTGTATAGTTACATGTGAAGGCACTAATTAAGTATGTATATTGACAAAAAGATTAAAGTAGAAAGCAAACATAATCAAACAAGATTACTTATTAATTAAACAATCAAAATTAATGCATTCTTTGACTCATATTAGTCATGTTACATATAAGGTTAAAAGAGTCTAATGGAGGAGAAAAGGGAAAAAGAGTTTAGGTGGAGGATATCCCTTTTAATCCTTATTTAGAAAGTTATGTACTCAAGGATATTATTTTTTTTGTTTGAAAAAAGAAAAGTAACTCTTTATTGAAAGCATTTTTTTTAAAAAGGGAATTAAGGTGAAATATGCTATTATATTATGATCAAATATAATATTGATCAATTTTATGACAGTATTTGATTGAATTTTTTTTATATCTATTTAGTTTTTTTTATTTTTGATAAAAGGTAAAGAAAATTAAATATCTTACAAAATATTCTGTTAATAAAAGTAATCAATTTCGTCACTTTATGTCTAAGAATCAACAAAATGACAGTATACTGACAAAATTCGACATTAACTCATAGAATAAGGGGTAAATCTGACCTTAACCTCAAAAAATGGCAAAAAAAGGGCAATTGCCTTTATGGGTTAGAGGTCAACGAGAAGGGTTGACTCTTAACAATACACAACAATTTGATATTGAAAATTGAGGTAGAGATTGGTGTAATGAGCTTGCTTGTACTCTAGGTAACAGGCAGAGGCATAAGAATAGGAACATTCAAGCCAACACATCTTTGCTTCCATATCTTTCATTTCTCTTAAACAGCTGCCAATTTGTGCTTGCAAATGTAATTGAAAGGATAAACACACATGAAATGTCATGTACATGTCTTGTTTCATTCCATATATGTGTAAATAGCATTTAATTCACTGATAGTATGAATTGCCGTTGGTTTAACATGAGATGAAATTAATTAGCTTGTAATTCCAAGCCAAAGAGTACTGTCCCTATCTATGGTATGCAAAGTATGAAACAATTAATTATATTAAACAAATTAAAATAATTTAAATTTGTCGGGATCCAATCTTGATCTACTTTCTCCAAGTTCCTTGGTCACGTCTCACTGCAACAAACAAATTAATTAATTACAAAGCCAGTTATAGTAGGAAGACATGCTAAATTATTGCTGAAAATGATAACATTTCTATATGAGGGAAAGTGTGTATACATATATATATATATATATTTATAAATGTATAGCATGATATGCTGTCAAAAATTTTAAAAAATAATACTAGCTAGTACATAATTATTATATGTATAATTCACTTTTATTCATTAATTAATATCTTGCCAAGTCTATTATCCATATAAAAATTGCATGAGAACATACGTCTGCAGTGACACAATCAAGCTTATTAAGAAAATATTGTTCTGTTCAAAACTTAGAATCCTTCTTGTAGTAATTAATTACAAAATTAATATATGTGTAGCTTCAACGTGTGGTATTGATAGCTCTAATTAACCTATTCGCTTAACTATCAAAATCATATTTTTTTTGAAAAGGCACAGAATATTTCATTAATGGGGAATTTTAAATCTCGCACATCACAGAGAAATATGACCTGATAAAACAATGAAAGAGAATTTTGCCCTTTAGAACGGGCATTACAATGTGGGGTAAAGCTCCTTATCACTGAATACTCCTATTTTTGCTGACCCGTCAATTAAGAAATTTGTCTATCAAATCAACTTATGGATATATAAGGTATCTAGCTTTTCAATGCATATGATCATTCGCCTCCTTCCTAAAATTAAATTTTGTTTTGTTCATGTTTAGTTTTCTTTGCCATGGATCACATGGTTGTTGGGGTTTTCTTTTTTCTTTTTCTTTTTTTTGATGGACCAAATTATATGGGGGTAAATTGCTTTGTGCTTACTAATAAGGAGTCAAATTCAAACCAAGCAGTGCTTGGGAGGAAATTTCTGCTTATTATTAGTATATATTTTGAGTAATATTGAAGAAACAGAAGCAAAGAGTCGTGGAAGGTTTTTCCACCTGTTGGCTATGTTATATGCTTTGTTTAATACACACTGTCTCTCCTGTGCCCTACATTTACTTATTTGAAACAAATTAATACTTCCCTTTTACGGCAATAATTTCTGGCTTCCTTCTTCCCCACTGTGGCAATTCTTTTCATAATTATGTGATCAAGTTGCTTAAAAAGATTTCACTTCAATGATTTTCTAATTTGAAGTAATTAGATCCTCTTTATGAATTATAAGTTTCATCACCCATGGTTATTCTTGTAGGTATACTAAGCTTCCCTTTAGTTTTCATGATCATGGGTTTCAATTAGTCATCCGTCTAAACTTGTCTCTCAAGCATATATTTAGGGAGACAAACAATTTCGTCGACGAATCTTTTATTATGGGTTAATCTTCTTCTCTTCTTTAAAAATTTCTTTTCCATGAAAAGAGAGAGTCAGACAAACACTTGTATTGGGCAATAGACTAGACAAGGAATAACCCTCAAAGCAAGCATGTGTGTTTTATCTGTCATACACATGCGCTACATGTATAAATGCAATGTTCACCTTAAATGAGTCAGCGTTTCTCTTTTTGGAATGCATATAACAACCCCAGGGGAAAAGTCTAATTACAGCACCACCACGGTAAACACAGTTGTAGTTTGTTTTTTTACGACCTAGACATGTCCCATGGTTTAGGCTCATTCCTTAAGGGTCCCTCAGGCCCTCTATTCCCTTGCATCACACAGCAACAAAACGAGGGCTCCCTAGTTAGGAAATGTTACAATGTTCCAGAAACAAAATCTGCAGCAATTGCTTGCCTACTTTTTTCACTTTCTACAGTGTGTCCCTATAGCTATATATGTATATGATGAGTCAACAGTTCAAAAGGGAGCTTTGATGAGTCAGTCGGAAAACACCTGATCAGATGAATTGAGGACAAAGAATCTAATAAATGGGGGCCCTTCTCGTTTCAATGTGTTGCAAGTAAATTCAAATGGTATCTGAAACTCTAACACACAGGGTGCATTTTTGTCCTTTCATGAGATGCTCACATACATACATACACATGTATTAGTTTTGATTCTTTTATCGGCTGGTCTGATTTCAAGCGATACTGATGTTTCTATGTACATCAAGCATGTGGTCAAAGTTCACTACTACTAATAATTAATGAATATCTAGTCATAGAAAGATTGATCGAATAACCTGCATAGTCTTCATTGTTTAATTTTTGGTAACCAAACGTTTACCATCAATGAAGTTGAGGCCAGTTAGTTAGTTATAGTAATTAATGATTGTCTACCTGGAGAAATGGTCAGGGGTTTGGAAAATTTGTGTCAAAATCTAGCTAGGTCATGTGTTTCTGTAGTTCTAATTACTTCATGGGCTATAGCCATTTTGTATATTTCTACTTAACATGGACTTTGGATACCTATGAAAGAAGGAAGACAAATAAAAACCAAAGGGTTTTTACTCAAAGGCACCAAAAGTATTTTGTTGAGATGGAAAGTTCTATTAGCTTAGCTAATTGAGCATAGGAGTTAGAAACTGATATAACTTGTCTATCAGTTTGACTTAATGTAACTCTGAATAAATTAAGTGAAAATGGTTTTTTTTCTTAATAAAAAGGCAGCAGGCACCACATTTATCCCCCACCAAAGTTTATTAGAAAGGGAGACCTTTGGGTTCTTAAAGAGGTCAGCAGATATCTAAGGGATCACAAGACTTCTGCTGGAGAGAGAGAGAGAGAGAGAGAGAGAGAGAGATGGGGAGGGCTCCTTGCTGTGACAAGGCAAATGTGAAGAAAGGGCCATGGTCTCCTGAAGAAGACTCAAAGCTTAAGGAGTACATAGAGAAATATGGAACTGGTGGAAATTGGATCGCTCTCCCACAGAAAGCTGGTAAAAGATAATCAGAAACAAAGATGCCTCTCTCTCTCTTTATCTATCTATCTATCTATGTAGCATACTTTTCATAGCTAAGTTTTTGTTGTCTTTGAATCAGGTCTGAAAAGATGTGGGAAGAGCTGCAGATTGAGATGGCTAAACTACCTCAGGCCTAACATTAAACATGGTGAATTCACTGATGAGGAAGATAGGATTATCTGCAGCCTGTTTGCTAGCATTGGAAGCAGGTACTCCTAGCTAGTTTCCGTTTTTGAGGGTTTCTTCTTCTTCTTCTTCTTCTCTCTCTCTCCTATTGGCTCGTGATTTCAAAGGAAAAAACAAATCCAAATTTGTAAGGGTATCAATCTTTTCCTTTTTACCAAAATTATCAGCTGCCTTGATGAAGGAATATTAATGAAATCTACCTAAAAGGGTGACAAGAAAAGAAAGAAAATTTTTTAAGCTGTTTGTATAAAAAAAGAGAGTAAATTTCAGAAACTTGGTTACATCAAGAATCTGCTATTTTGGGATAATTCTTCTGCATGCATGCCAAGCTTAGATTAACATCATCACCTACTTACAACTGTTAACAAAGAGCACGGATTTTGCTTCTCATGGAACGTTTTCTTTTCTAACATGTAATTTGCAGATGGTCAATAATAGCTGCTCAGTTACCCGGAAGGACAGACAATGATATCAAGAACTACTGGAACACCAAGCTTAAGAAGAAGCTCATGGCCATGACTGCTCAATCCCAAAGAAAACCACCTCCATTCCCCTCTTCTCATCACACTCCCCTGTTTCATCTCAATCCTTATCATCACTGTACAAAGACTGCAGTACTTCTTATTACAGTACCCCAAACAGATCTTTCACAGCCTTTGAACCCATGTCATCAGTTCAATCTGATCTTTTGAACAACAACAGCAACACTACTAATTTTGCTACCAATTCTTCTCTTATTCACACCCCAGAGAGTTTGGTGAGTCACATGCAGTATTATCCCGTGAAAGAAAATTTTCTCATGTTTGGGAGTGAACCAAGCTGCAGTTCTTCTGATGGTAGCTGTAGCCAGATCAGCTACGGCAGAGAGATCAAGCAAGAAGACATGAGTTTTCAGGGTTTTGGTGCCTCTACTGGGTATGAAGATAATCACAAGTTCATGTTAGATTATGGCACCAATAATGGAGGTGCAAATGTTACCCAATGGACTGAGAAGCCAAGTGGGTACTATGGAGAATGCTCATTAGACTATGATCTTGAAGATGTTAAGCGACTGATTAGCTCTAGCAGTACTAATAATTGCTGTAACAACAACAACTTCTTCATTGATGAAAGCAAGACACAAGAGAAAGTCATGTACTACTACTACTGATGGACTGACTGCAAGTAAAATCAGAAAGATTTGACGGGCAAGGGGCAAAGTGAGGGGTGAGGGGGGGTGTGGGGGAGGAAAGGTTTGGGATGGATGGATGGATGGATAGATGGATTGATAGTGGAGAGATTCAGATAAAAAAGACTTTCAGTTTCTGGGGTTTTGTGTTCTGATGAAATGAAACATTTCTTCTTTTGACAGTACATGGTAAAGCTTTTTATTTTGTGCATTTCTTTTTGGGAGGTGATGATGATGTCATTTCTGTACGGACCCCCACTGGCAACCCGCCCAATCAGAAATCAATGTTTATGAAAACTAGACAAGTAATCATATCATTCTAAGAACAAGAATCCTGATGTCAAGATAAACCAAGCATGCACTGTTTTCCCTGTTTTTAATTTCCCCCATCTTGTTTTTTTCTCTGCACTTTCCTTCCTGAATTTCAATGACATTGGCCAGTAATTTAATGGGATTGCAGTTCCAACTGAAAAGGCAATTACAGCCCTCAGAAAACAATATTCTGTCCCTCCAATCTAAAGGGCAGTAGGGTCTTTTTATTTTGTTCCAGAACCCTTTTCTTCTCTTCAATGAACTAGGTCAGACTTGAGGGCGGAAACTTGTTTCCCCATGTATATTAAAAACAGAAGGGATGATGGTGGAAAATTTGGAAGTTTATGGAGGGAGCAAAAGCTCAAGAAAATGACTTGCACTTGCAAACATAATCTCAGTTTTTTCTAACAGAATCCTCTTTGATTATCTATATTTACTGTTTTAAACCATTGATAAAGGTCATCAACTCTATGCATATGTGTTCAATGTGATAACATTAAACAATTCACAATGTTTGTTTGGAAGTTGGTTTGATCTAATCACCATTTGAAAATATAAACATGAGTAAGACTTTTTTGTTGCTAGCATTCTGGATTCAACACAAAGGCATAAGTCTCTCTATATTGCTCATTTGCAATTTAGGGTTACATATGAATTATGAATACTACTCTTTCTGTCCCTTTTTCTTTGATTTTCATGAAAATTAAGATGAAAATACTAATTAATTGCAAATAAACTGTATTAAGTAACTTGAAGACAGTTGGAAAGCTAAACCAAATGAAAATGACTATTGAACCTGAAAGTTCTATGGATGATTTCCTTATCTCAAACATAGATTAAATACGCAATTATTAAATGTTGAATAAGCTATATGCTGCATATATTCAAATTAGTAGCATGTAATTTCTATAATGTATTAATTAAATGCAATGAGAAATTAATAATCGTTCTCTTTTATCAATCTTTTGCAGACGCAATCACATAAGTTGGCATTTGCGTTTTTGCTAAATTGGCTCATTTTATCTCCTTTTGGATAGTAAAAGATTATTATAGAAAATAATTTAACTATTTGCATGGGTGATAACACTCTCTCTTTTCTAATTATAGTTTTATAATAATTAAATTGTTCTTTTTCCAATATAATTGCTGGTAGGTGACACTGCAATTGGCTCAGCAAGATATATTTAATCAAAAATTCGTAAATTATTCAAAATTTTCCCGTTGAATCAACCTATCCACTATAGCTGGAGCTTGATTTTCTTATACATATACTCATGGTGATGCTTAACATTAATCTTTACATATTTGTCAATGAATTAAATCTAGAAAGATTGAAGTCTACAAAATTTCACATTGTGTTGTTGATTGACAGGGAATCCCCATTGGGAAACAGTCCAAAGGACTCCAAAATTGCATGATCACAAGATCTGTCAGGCTGTATCACTGTGTCATGAGATTCAGCCTTGTTTTTTGTTTATAAATAAATAATATATATATAAAAATACTGTTCAAATCTGAAACTTATGTGTGTGTGTATATATATGTGTGTGTGTGTGAATATGATTTCTAGGGGTAAAGATAAACTGGGTTGCCAGCTACATTTTGGCTTAATAAATTGGAACTAGTCAGCATGGTTTCTTTAGGGCATACCTTTGTTTTTGAAGCAGTGGTGGAAAGGCGTTTCCAGAAATGTCTTTTCTAGTGAAGGTCAAAAGAGTGTGGTACCTACTGACAGACTGACACTCAAAAAACTAATAATTTTTCATTTTTGCAACCTTTGGTTTTTTAAAATGAATAGATGATCTGTTGTCAACGTATAAGAGAATTCTCTTTTCCCCCTTTCTTTCTCCTTTGGATATGGCCTTGGAAAGATTGCAATATATGGCTTTACAGCTGCTTTAGAGCTTAACCTCCCCGTTGCTGATACTAAGATTACAACTAGTAAGAGGTTTGAACAGGTTCCCTCTTTCTAGTGTCAACTAGTTTAGTTGATAAAGTTACTTTAACAAGGATTGTATTAATAATTGAATCTTGGTAATCTCACCATTGTCAATGATGAAAACATTCAAGGAAAAAGCCCAATTTGGATGGGTTAACTTTTGATCAAGTTGTTTATTTTGTTTGGGTTTGTATATTTTATGTTGTTTACGATTATCTTGATCGATTTTAGTTAAATCTACATTATTTAAGGTCATCCTGTTTAGTTTCAATCCAGTCTCCATGTAATTACCTGTTTGTCAGGTTTTTTACATTTGTTTTTTCTATCAGTGATGATAAGTTGAATCTATATTATTTATAATTGTTTTGTTACCCATTTATCGGGGTTTTTGTATTTACTTTTTCTATCATTGATAATGAAATATCTCGATTAACTAAGGCAAATTATAATGAGTTATAGGGATACTTTATTGCATGCAAAAGAACCAAACCAACTCCACGTTAAACAACTCTTGAATTGGAGACCATAAGCCCAATGGAGCCATCACCTTTTTGAAGTGTGAGCGTTGGAAGATTATAGCAGGCAGGGTTGATGTTTACAACTAAACTACCCCTCATATTTCAACTAGATTATACTATAGAATTCCAATTTCCTCGATATTGCAAATGATGTTTGAAACCTGAAGCACCAATCCTTGAATCCAAGTTTTGAAAAAACCAAAGAAAACCCATCATGCATGATTCAATGGTTGAAGTTTTTGTACTTTCCCCCACTCTGTTTATCTGCTTTCATGGCTTGACTTGGCAAACACTAACTTTCCCATGGTCATATTGTTCAAACAGAAGTTTGAAAAAGGCCTGGAGAGATTGACCTGAGCTTTATGGTAATGCTTGAAACAATTCATACAAAACGGCTAGAATAGTCTAAAAAGTTCACTCTGGTTTCACAAAACCAACAATTTAAAAAGCCACAGTTAAAAATTCCCATTATTCTACTTTTCAAAAAAAAAAAAGAATTCCCATTATTCTGTTTGAAGTAGTTGACAATGACAAGCAGGAGAAAACACACCGGAAACACAATGTGCTTTTATTGAAATTTCCATGGATGGGAAGGGCAGAGGTCCACTCTGGAGATGATCTGGAAAAGCAGAAGAAATGATGTATTGGGATAGAGACTGAAGCTGAGGCAATGTGTAACCCTGTTTCCTGCATCAACACCGATATGTATCAGATTGACTTGCAATGATCTACAGAGAGAAATACTAAGCAATAGGAACAACCCTTCATACCTCCCACCCCCCCCCATTTCACTATTTATGTCTACAAAGTTCAAGATCAAGAAAGGAATCCGGAGGGGGATCACCAGGTGCAGTACCATAACTGTTGATTTCTATCAGGTGTGGGAGACATATGGATAAGCAGCACCAGGGTAAAAGTAGGGAAGAGAAATATCAAGTGGTATCTTTTCAGAATTGGCCAAACAAAAAAATTCTTCAGTTGTTAAGAAAGGTTTTGGGTATGAATTTCCATTCATGCTAGCTTCATTATGGTGATTCTTTCTGGCCAAGCCATTAAGGTGATTTCCCATAACGTTATGTCCTCTGAATTTAAAGCTAAAATGAAAACTTAATTTAAATACAGCAATAGGGACCATATATCTTCAAACGAATAAAACTTCCACATCGTATGCGGTAAACAATCAAAAACCTTTTGGTAACTCCTATTTCCCATGGGTAAGACGCCATATCCCATGCCCTATAACTTAACACATGCCTCCAGATAGCCGAAATACATATTCCAGCATCAAAGAACTTTGTTGACTCTCTCTGGAAATATTCTTCCTGCAAACTGATACTTAATGGATTCCGACACACCAAACACAATTAATCAACTTGAAAATCAGAAATATATCTTTGCTTTTACCAAACTTGTAAAATGTAAATAGTCATAGACACTCAAGCGTTATGGCCATGAGATCAAGTCACAAAGTCCATCAAAAAGGCAGTGGCTGACGACAATCAAAGTAATCATAGCTTTCACTGAGATTATTAAGTCAATCATAAGTGGACCTATTTTTGACAGAAGAGGAAAAGCAAAAACTTAAAAGCTACCTGAAGTTTCTGATGCATTAACTCAAGCCAAACCCCTAACTACTTCTCTAATAGTTTTGAAATCAAGGATTTCGATCCAGTAACCATCAGGATCCTTAATGAATGCAAATCCTTTCATCTTGCCTGCATAACAGATTGATAGATTAGACATGAGTAGAAGCAATTTTAAAAGGTTAAAACTCAAGAAATATTTTGGAGGCTTTTGCTGTTCTCATTCATGCCTTGTGAGTATAGGTTAATATTGCTCAAAATAGAACCTTGTAATACCGACCGGTGCTTTTACTTCATGAAACCAAATACAAGTTTATTACTAATTCAGGCATCTCATTAAAGTAACTTTAAATGACTGATAAAATGAGTGAACAGGGTGACACATATTCCTAGTATTTTGATAGCAGTAGCACTTCAACAGGGGCTCTTGCTATCCAAGAAATCAAAATGTGGGAAAGTGTAATCGTACTATAAATTGAGTAAATATCTGCTTCCAAGTATGTAACCAATGCTCCTCAATCTGGGTAAGAAAAGAATTAATCCTTGGAGTAATGCTGGATTATATAAGTAAGTTGATACATACAAATACACCATAACCAAGTGCATCATGTGTAACATTAACACTAGTAATTGTTCTTAGTGTGAAAAGGATGCCACTGGTAGAATGTTATCAATGAAAATAGGCAAACTGCACACAGCCAAAGCCTGTTCAGAGAACTACCCTACTTGGCAGGTCAAGAAGAGGATTTTAGCTGCATAAGTAGAGAACACTCCCTTCTGATTCTTTATCATTCTTCGAAGACAATGAGTACTTTAACTGTCCTTTTGGTTAGCTGCGTCTCTCTACATTTGTTTGAGTACATTATGAATAATTTTGGTTACAAAGAGATATATGCATAACTGTTTTTGCATTTTTACGTTTTCTCTCTTTCCTGTTCTCACATTATCTGAAGACTTACTGATAATTTTAGACCTAAATTACCATCCCTCATTAGTTTTTCTCCTTTGGGGCCTAATTGTGGGCACTTTGCCTCAAACTCAAAATCTCTATCCAACCTCAAGCTCCAAATCACCTAAGTTATGCTGATGTGATAAGTTACCTTAACAATTTATTAATTTCCTCAAAAGATAATGTCACAATTTGTCTAGCAAACTACCAGTTCTCAATACCAGTAATCCCCACCCAAAACTTATATGGAAATCATAATATCCATCGAGGCATCGTATTATTCTTAATAAATTCTATAATCTAAGTGAAATGGATTACCATCATCCGGTTTTTTGACAAACTCTACTCCAAGGCGTTCAAATCTCTCACATGCCTTGCGTGTATCATCCACAGTGATGCCAATATGCCCTGAAAAGGAAAAAGGCACAGTTAGTACCTAAATATCCCAAAAACTCCTCATCTAAAGAACCCACACATTTAGAACAGATAAAAGTCAACACTCTTTTCTTCTATCAGATTGAGAAGTGAATCCATCCAGAAGCAGCAACTGCTTGATCAATTACAGCATGGTTGTCAAGACAAGCCAGCCGGTTAATTGAAAACAAATGGGGATATTTTAAACTACACTTATTTGAAGAAGAAAATCATAAGACATTACAATAACAAAAACCAAACAAAGCCTTTCCTACTGTGTAGGGTTGACAAATCATAAGAAATCCATGGGTGAATAAATTCAGTTAATCCTAACCAATAAAAACCAATATTGCAATAACAACACAAGATGGTGTCCACATATGAGATAAACCTAAACAAATGCAACCCAACGAAGATTAGTACCACAGTATGAAGATATATTGTTTTTCCCCATCAATATCACCGAATAAAAGCATTATGGGGTTTTATAAGGCACAACAAATGAATGGTATATGCCATCAAAATTGTCTAATTCTCTGATTTCTGAACCGAACAGTTAGAAGAAATAAACATTACAAAGGAGGCAAATCTATTCATACCAAAGCCATGAGGATCTGAATTGCCATTGTGATATCCTTTGAAGTCAGGGTCGCTTTCAGTACCCCAATTACTGTAGGATGCATTAAACCGTTAAACATGCTAAGGCACAAGAATGATGACTTTGTAAACACAAAAAGAGAACTAGATTAAAAACTATAATAATAATAATGTGTTCATACTGCGTTAGTTCAACTGTTGCTGGTTTTCCAAAGGTCCAAACTGTTCTATCAATTGGGTCACTTGGAGCTGATGCAACATCCTATAGCAAAGGAAATATGCATCTAGAATCAACATCATTACTATTACCAAAATGGTGAGGCCTAATACGAAGAAGGAATAGAAAAGATACTCCAATAAGCCACTAAGAGCAAAGACTTATACAAGATTACTTCTTGCAATGTACTTATATGGATTTTACCTCGTAGCCCAAAAAGTACAAGGTAAACTTCAATTCTGGAACATCTATCCTCTTAAGCAACCTGAAAAGATAAAAGGTAAAAAAATCAGCTCATATTAAGCTTTAATAGATTACATGACAAACCAAAGCACAAGCACAAGAATCAATTCAATCAAATTAGATAACAAAGGGGAACAAATACCAACAGAATTTACATCAAATTAAAAAAAAAAAGTAAAGGGAAAGTGAAGAATAACTTACGACATGCCTAATACACGAGAGTAAAAATCAAGACTCACTTTTGGATCCTTAATTCGAAACATCTGCAATAAAAAAACAAACCCCATGAACATAAATTCCTTAAAATCATATTTAAACCCAAAAAAAAAAAAAACTTACAGTTTGCTGCATGAAATAGCCTTTGGTGGCTTCATCAGGGGTAGATTGAAGTCCAGGGTTATTAGCAGCTGATTCTTTCAAGCCTGATGATGCCATTGAATACAACCTAAATCGGATTCGATCCTACAAAATAAAAATCCAAACTTTTCGATCAAATTACTAAAAAGAAGATGTTTTAAGAATTGGGTTCTACATTTCAGATGTTAAATGACACTGTCAAAGATCATTGAGCTTGTTTTAAAAAAGTCAGAACCTTTGGTTGATGGGTTTGTTTTGAAATGAAAGAAAATGAGAGTAAAGGAGGTGATAAGCAAGGTTGTCTGGTTAGGTGAAGCACAGAACATCGAGAAAAAGCGGCGGTGATTGAAAACAAAGCCATATTTTTTGACATTAACAAAGACAATTTTTGTACCTTTGAATTTTTATGAGTTGGTGAGAGTGAAGAAGTGGGCTGTGGCTATGCGTCGCTCAATGGATTTATAGATTTTAGATTATCCAATACTAAAGCTTTTCTTTATATATATCTATATATATATATATATATATGTATGTATATATAAATGGGTTTCAAGGTAATATTATTGGGTATTTAAATATTTCAAATAAATTTTTTCATATATGAAAAATTATTGGTATAAAACTTAATTTTTATGGAGTTTAAACCTATTGGTAGTAATTCAATGTCAAGTATGTGAGATAACAAGTGCTTAAAAATGTAATTTTAGTATAAATATGAAAGGTTTGATTTGACCAGTCATACATTAAATGTATATGTAAAAAAAATAAATATCATACTCTTTTCTTCTTTTAATATTAGCAAAAAATTTTAAAATCTCCATCTAGAACAGTCATGTGATTTAATGCATCATGTTAATTTGTTATAATAGATAGTGACATAACAATATAATCATGTGATAATTTTTTTTTCATTATTATTTTATGACAATGTCATGTGAATATGAAAATGACAAATATATTTTCTCTGTCTTTTAATATTAGCATAATGCCTTAAAATCATTGTATAGAACAATTATATGGTAGTATCAATAAAAGTTATGATTTTGGCATATTTTATATTAATTTTTTAAAAAGTCTTATAAAATAAATATTCAATACCTTTTAATACCAAAAAAATATAAAAAATAATAATTTTATTATATATAATAAGTCAAAATATTAAGTCTCTAAAAAATTTAAAGAGACAGAAAATGAAAAATTATAATTTGATCAAACCACTAATTTCTTGAATTTCTATAAAATTCTTAGGATTTTAAATTGATAACCCCATGTGGGTAGGTAACTACTGACAAGTAGGGCAGAGTGTCACGGGGCGATACTTAAGACCACCTTCCGTGCGGCCTTGGGCTCAACCCTTATCTTGGCACTTAGAATCCAAGTCAGCCTTAGTGCTTCAGCACTCGCCCAACAAGCACTCAACACCCACACAATGGCTTTAAGCCGGCAAGCAAGCTTGCATAAACGAGGAAGGAAAAATGGGAAGAGAATGCTAGAGAGAAAAACTAAGCTTGTATTGAATGAATTGAGATACAAGTGTGTTGGATGATTTACACAAGGAGGATGGGGTTATTTATAGCCAAGGTTCCCCACCCATTTCCCTCCAAAATTTTCCCTCCAAAAGATTTTCCTCCAAAACCATTTGGGAGGGAAACTAAGGTTTCTAGAAGCTCATTTGGGAGGGAAATCCCTACATGGGTCTTGGTGGGCTGGCACCCTACATGGGTCTTAGTGGGCTAGCACCCTCTTGGGCCTCTTGGCGGGTCTGGGCTGTGGCCCGTGACAAGAGCATATGATTAGTTCGATTAGTTTGATTTTGGATATCTAATCATTGAACTAACTAAACTCATGTTTAAAATTAACTGAAATCAAACTAAATTTCACAAATAATCAAATTAACCGAAATCGAATTAATTCGGTTAGTTCCATTCAGTTTTCAAAAATCAAACTTGAGAAATTTCTTTTTCTTTGTTTGTATATATTTATTTATGTTGTATTTTTTTATAAATCAATATTATAAATATATTAAAATGATGATAAACAATTAGAATATATAAGATGGATATTCATGCTAATAACAAATAATTAAAAACACGAATAAAAAAATAACAAATAGTTTATGATTTATTTTTCATGCGAAAACTTCATTATACCTTTATTCAAATTCGATTAGTTCGGTTAAGAAACTTTCTAATCAAAATTGAATCAAATTAATACTAATAACTGAATTACCCCAATCGAACTACTCAAAGAATCAAACTAATCAAATGAAAACAAAACCAAACTCACTTCAGTTCATTTTGGTTTACATTTATACACCCCTAGTGATAAATGTGGGGAAGCACAAAAAATGTCTTGAAAGAAGAATTAATTATTGCTATATCATGTTTGTGGGCAAAGATATTGTCCTTTTCTTTATATATAACACTAGAGTGGTGTTGGGTTACATTTCCTTTTAGAAATATTCATTAAAATTTAACATAAAAAATTTGTAAATAATGATAATAATAATAGGAAAAAATAATTTTAAATTAAAAAAATTATAAATAATAATAGTAATAATAAATCAAAGATAATTAGTTTAAAGCATTGATAATTTATTTTTTAAAAAAAATTGGTGTTTTAATTTTATTAACAAATTTCATATTATATTTAAATTTTTATTTTTTTTGTTTTTATTTTTTATTATTTTTGGATGATTATAATGTTTATGTTATGAATATTTTGTGAATATTCATTTATACCATGTATATTTAGATTTGGATGTAAATTAGATTAGATGAATTTTAGAATTTAATCCATCTAATCCTTTAGTATTATCTTCATCTTGTAAATTCAATCTAGATAAGGAGTTATTAGCCTATAAATATGTCCCTTCACTTCATTTATAAATACATACTTGAATAAAATCTTCATACCCCCTCTACGTACATTCTTTCCTCTAAATACTTTCTTTTATTTGTTTTTTTAAGATTTATTTCATATTCTCTCATCTCTCAAGTATTAGAATTACTATATTTTCATCATCTTCAAGCTTCAAAAGCATTTCAATAATTTGGTTTTGATTTCTGAATTTAGATAATCAAGTAAGTAACTTGATATCTCTTTAGTATTTTCATTTTTTAAAATCATTCTTAATATGAATTTATTATTATATTATATATATTATTTTTTGTCTCTTAATTGGAAAGTAAATTGCTATTATATAGCTATTAATAAAACATTATGGATATTCTTTCCCTGAAGTGAATGTGACAAATGAACTACTAATAAAAAATTATAAATTCGTCTATTCTTGAAGCAAATGTGACATTATTTAATAATTATAATCATAATCATGAATCCATCTATTCGTTAAAATAAATGCAACATTATTTAATAATTATGATGGTCATAATAATTTACACTATCACTATTTTAATTTTATCACCAAAAGTAGATGGATAATTTTATCATCAAAATCTAAGAATAATTTTACCATTAAAAGTGGATAGATGCTTTAATCCACTGAAAAGTGGATAATCCACCAAAAGTGGATAAGCCATCATATGTGGATCACCTACTAAAAATGGATATATACTTGTTACCTACCTCAAGTAAATAAATACTTTTGACGTACCAAAAGTGGATGAATAATAAAAAGATAAAAAAATAAAAAGAACGTAGAAAACATATTATCATTGATGTGGCATGAAAGATTATTGATCTCGTACTTGTTGTATGTCTTAAATTTTATCAAGCATTACTGAAAACTGCATCTTATGATGATTTTAATCATGACCAAGTTAATATAGCACATCAAAATATTTTTTTCACCTTAAAAGAGGAATTGATTATATGATTGGTAATAAAAATATCCATTATTGATTTTCTTGTCCTAAAAAAAGAATTGATCATTTGATTGGTAATAGAAATATCCAAGAATAAACTTAATAGCAATTGGTATATTTTCGTATAATTATATTATGAAGATGTTTTAATATGTTTTCATTATATTTAAATGATATGTTCTTATTATTTGTTTTAATTCTATATTTAATATTCTTTTATATTAACTTGTAAGTTTCTTTTATATATATCTTATTTTATTGAAGAAAAAATATGGATATTCATATTGTTGGATTCTAAATCTATGATGTAAATATATGTCTAGTATACATTGCTATAACACACACTATATTTAAAGACAATAAATATTTTTTCTACTTGACAATGGAAAAAAACTAATATTAATTCAATATCTGGTAGTACAAGATTAATTGAAAGATCTATAAGAGTTAATATTTTATTGGCTTGAGGAATAAAGTAATAGAGGATGTATCATTTTCTATTAAGTCTCGAAGAAATTTATTAAGTTTTAAAGATATTCGCCTAATAGATATCCTATTAAGATAACGAATGAAAGAGACACTTAATACCTCTATATTACATCTATTATCTCATGTAGAAAATATGTGTTGAAAAAAAAAATTACTCGTTTTATTCTTTGAATTAAACTACACAAATATTAGAATAATTGAAACCCATAGTAAATCAGAAGTTTACTCATAATTTTAATGTTTGGTATGACCAGTTAGATCATCTTGGATCAATAATAATGTAAAAAAATGATTGAAAATTTATATGATCATTTATTAAAAAACTAGAAGATTTTTCAAACTAATTAATTTTTATGTGTTGCTTACTCTGAAGGCAAATGAATTATAAGGCTACACCAGCTAAAGTTGGGACTGAATTTCTTATGTTTTTGAATAATATTTAGGATTATATATAGATTCATACATCCACCATGTGAACCATTTAGATATTTTATTATTTTAATCGATACATCAATTGGATAGTCACATGTGTGCTTATTATCAACTTACAATTTGACATTTACAACCATTCATTTGCAAGCACATTTTTCTAGTTATGTACTCAAGATTATTTGTCTTGACAATACTGGTGAATTTACATCTTAAACTTTTAATATTGTATATTAGTTGGAATAACTATTAAACAACCTGTTGCTTATGTTCACACACAAAATAGTTTAACAGAATCGTTTATTAAACACTTTCAACTAATTGCAAGGTCATTACTTATGAAATTCAAACCTCCAATGTTTGTTTGAGGGCATATCATTTTGGATGTAGTAGCACTTGTATGTATCAGGCTAAATAAGTTATTATAAATTTTCTCTACACAATTAGTTTATAGTCAAGAACCAAATATTTTTCATCTAAGAATTTTTAGATTTATGATATATGTTTCAATTGCTCCATCATAATGCACAACGATGGGTCCTCAAAGGATGTTAAAAATATATGTTAGATACGAATCTCCATTTGTAATTAAATATTTAAAATTATCAATAGGAAATTTATTCATAACAAAGTTTATCAATTATTATATGGATTAAACAATTTTTTCAACATTAGGGGGAGAAAAATAAGCAGCTGCAAAAGAAAATTTATTAGAATAAATTATCATTATCTAGTTTTGATCCTCGCATA